TGCCACCTGTTCTGATTCCCCCCCCCCCCCCCCCAGGATCGTGCCATCCTAACAAATCTGCAAGAGTCTCCCGGGATATCAAATATTAAAAGTCGTGTGGGTTGTTTTTTTGTCAACTCCGGAAATACGCACCACTCAAAACGATGCATCCACACGCAGTTCTCCCAATCATCTGGCATTGTGGGATATTCTTCTCACTGCCACGATCTTCCCACGATGCGTGCCCGTTATTTTGCATCTCAGAGGTGGCAATTAAAAGTCGTGGGTTTTTTTTGTCAGCTCCTTAAATACGCACCACCAAAAACGATGCATCCACACGCAGTTCTCCCAATCATCTGGCATTGTAAGATATTCTTTGCCACGATCTTCCCACGATGCGTGCCAATTATTTTGTATCTCAAAAGTGGAAACCCTAAGACGTGCCCGTCTGGCTCGAGGTGGCGGCGACGACGATGGCGTCGTGGGGGGGGGGGGGGGGGGGAGCCGTGGCGGCCCCTGCGAGTCTCTCCAGGAAAAGCTCGGACGTGAATAGCCCCACGACCGCATATCCCACGCGCCGAGGGCCTCACAGCAGCCGGTGTGAACGTAAGTCCGTCATTCATGTGACAGTCATAAGTCCCGTGTGTTTAATGTCCCGGAGTGAGCTTCTTAGTCTGGTCGACCGAAGCAACCAACTTCTCCCCAATATCACGTCAGCCAATTAGTTATTTCAGTATTTACTTGTTGTGCATAATGTACATATTTATCCAACGGCCGTGTTTGGTCTTCTTCAGAGTACTGCGGCCTCTGATAATTCACTGGTCAACACACTTTTTCTGGCATAAGGTATTCCAACGGTTTTAAGGTAATTTTTGGGGTGCTGATTCCAAATCTGGCATCAGTTTTTGTCTATCACATCAGGTTTTTGAGATATCAAATATTGCATTTTCAATAAAAACTGCAGAAGAAAAATATTAAATAAATGTGGATATGTACATAAAATGATATTATAAACACACTATCCGAAAAATACAGCACCATATTTTAACACTAAAGCAGTCACTGACTCGCAACAACTTGCAATCATAAGTGACAGAGTTAATTTCGGGTAAAATCAATGAAAATGGGGTATGCCGATAGCATAAAAATGAGATGTGATAGAGCAAATCTGAGATCAAATTTGGAATCAGCACCCTGAAATTAGTCTAAAACAGCTGCAAAAGTCCAGGCCAGAATTTTTTTGTTTTGTTGACCAGTGATAATGCAACGAAAACTGTCTTATCACGGGACCTCCCTTGCCAGTATCAAGATACATGTATAACAATAGATTGTATACCCTTTATGGCAATAAAACATGTGTTAAGATGTAAAAACACCAAACTTAAACCTTTTACAGTTTGTTTGCATGTTCACCACAAAACGTTTGCGGTTAATGTAGACATGATTCCTTGCAAAAGGTTTCAGTTCGGTGGCTTAACATCTTAACACAACTGTTTTAATGCCAGAACGGGTATCAAACCTATTCTTATATTTTTTTAAACCGTCTTTAGTCTGCGTCTTCACTCAGACGCGTTCGTTCCGTCGCGTCCGTGAAGTCGTTTCGTGAAGTCTTGTGGACTTTTGCGGGGTTAGCGATCGTCGACGTCGAGCCCGAGGATTTTCATCCACCGGCTCAAAATGAAATAACAAAAACCGCCGACACCGTTCACGTGAATATCGGACGCTGCTCGCAGGCCACGCGGCAGCGGACGGTGCCCGCTCGACCTTTGCTCGACCTCTGCTCGACCCCCGCGTCCCTCCGAGCCCGGCTGAGACGACGTTTGACAGCGACGAAAGCGCCGGCAAACGCGGGCGTGCGTGCCTACCCCGCCACCGTCACGCCCATATCAGCCTGTTAACCACCCATTAATCACGATTAACCCGCCGTGTGTGCCTTGGCTGATAAGTCAATTAACCGACAGGATTGTATCTGTAATTAAATATCAAGCGCGAACTGGCGTTCGGGTTCATTCATTAATCAAGTGCGGCGAAAGCTTCCCGTCTCAGTCTACCCCCCCACTCCACCACCACCACCCTCCCCGCCACCACGGGCCCGGCATGTGACTTTGCCGGTCGCCGTGGGCTGCCGATGCCTCGCGTTCACCGCATTCAACAGAGGGACAGGGAGGCGTTCAACTTTTGGGGATAGGTTCCAGGAGAACGGAATGCCGCCAGGGTATTTTGGGCAACTTTTGTGAACCAAATTTCGATTTTACCGAAAGAACCAAGAAGATTTTGTGAACCAAGTCAACTTTTTCGTGTTATTTCTAAGGCAGCGTCGTACAATCGCCCAGGACTAAATCAAGATGCATTTCCAGCCAGGATGATGATGTACATCATCGTCAGGAGGATGTTGACCATGTGGACCCCTCGTTACCAGGATTTTACTAAAGATTACTTGAGTTCGTCAGTAGGGCCACAATGTATTGCCGTCTTTTGAATTTCACTCCCAGGCCCCGCTTGGAGAGGCAACAGGCTTTGCGGGCGGTCGTAGCGACCTACAGGGACATTTGCGGCACAACTGCCCAGTGGAGGCCAATGGGGTTTAATATATCCGTGGGGTGTGTAAAGGTGAAAAGTAGGGCGGAAGGGTAGAGGAGGTGAGAAGCGACACGGTGGAGTGGAGTGGGCGGGTGGACAAAAAACTGTATAATATTTATAATGAGCAGATAAGTCTTGTTGTGGTTTATTTTCCTTCATCGTTTTTCACTGACGGGACCAGGCTCCCTCCTCAGCCCCCCTCCGGCCCGTTCATAATGAGCCACCACTGCAATGGTATCGATTGCGCTTGCTTCTCATGATGTGGATGTGCGAGCATCCACGCCGTGCCCATGGTCACAAAGCGAGGCCCGGTCTCCTGAGGCCTAGGCCCTCCGCCTTCCAGCAGCTCGCAGGAGACGACGGAGAGTGTCCGATGTAGTAATGTAAAAAAAAAGAATTACCCACACATCCTATATGTATATATACAGACACACACAATGTGCACAATCACTGCCCATTTGTACCGATATACAAACATCACGACCAACGTTGAGATTCACTTGTAACACATCAAGTCTGCAAAAACTGTTCAAAGTTCAAAAACCCGATATAGGAAATTACATTTACACCGTACGTACAAACTTTGGTAATGAGAAGGTATATCAATATAAAAATGTAACCATTTCCTGCGACGACCACGTCAGAGAGTCTAGATAACAGCTAGGCCAGAGACAGAGAGACAGAGAGAGAGAGACGCATCCGATCAACAGCGCCAGAGAAAAAAAACCCAACAAAAAACGAGGCAGAACAACGACATGGGGCAGCCAAATTATCCTTCCTGCGCGCACGAGGCACAGAGGAGGACCCGGTCAGAACCCCCCCCCCCCCACCAACCACCCCTCATTACAACATATTGCACTTGATCTCACCTGCATGAGCAATCATCGGCACGCTAGACGGCGGACACATCGGGGGACGACCCGGCCACACCGCGCTGTACCTGCCCCACCCTGCCCGCTTGCCCCTGGTGGTCTATGCTCCGGCGAGTGGCAGGCCGGCAGCCTGACGACGGCACGGCGAGAACCAGGGGCAGCGCCTGCAGTGGCTGAAGGGAACTGAGACTCACGACCTTCTTCACCACACTGGCCAAGGCTCAGAACCCCCCCCCCCCCCCCCACACCACAACCTCTAAATTCTTATAGTCACATCAAAATGGTGTGACAGTCTATATATGTGTAGGGGGTGAAAGCTAGAGCAGAATGCACGATTAGACCAATACACACCGCACCGTTGCTCATCTGTCGAGCGATTAACATTCGGTTAAATGTTTGTTTGGCATTGCCTTAAAAACGGGGTCATGCCACAGGATTGAGGCCTAGGGAGGCATCCAGGGCGGGTGGTGAAACGATGAGCTGGCTGGGCCTGGGACGCGTGTGGGGCACGGCGCGCGAGCGAGCGGACGCGGGGAAGGGTGCTCCGTCACCGTTGTCGCGCGCCGGCCACGCCGACGCGCCACCTCAAGCCGCACGTGATCTTCGGGAGGGGTCGGGAAAAATTAAAACAAAGTTTGGTTTCTTGTAAACAATTGCAAGATATGCTAAGACGTCTCGGGCAGGTGGTCGCTGGTGCTGCACGCCTGCACACGATCGCTATGGCACGTGCGGGTGGTGGTGACGTCGAGGGGGCCTGTGGGACTGGACCTTAAAATAAAAAACTTCGCGAGTCGTTTGTAAAAAAAAGTCGCATTGTTACATTTCCGCATGCCCATTCGCGCCGTGCGTTCCGTTGTCAGGCGTTCACGATCCTTGGTGTGGAGTCGAGGCGGCCGATCCCTCGGCCGCTCTCACCGCTGCCGCCCCATCGTCAACGCCGCGCTGGTGACAACCGGTGTCCGCGATGTTGCTCAGGGCGTAAAGAAGACGTTGAAATTGATCTCCTCCAGCTCCCGCACATCTTCGGCGCGTGGCTACGTGGGCTCTTGTTGTTTAAATTTCGAGGTTGTTATTTAACTGCGTGGTCTCCAGCGACGGCGGCCGTGGTGCGGCGGTGAGGGAGGGGGGGGGCGGCGATGACGGCGGTGGTCGGTTGAGGGCACTGCGCCACTTTTCCCACGGTTCGCGTACTCCCGGACGACGCCGCACCCTCCCTCGCCATCAACCGCACAAACTTGTGCTATGGACCATGCAAACGGCCACTTAAAAATAAAAAGGACAGGTACTAAAAAGGGGGCAACGTTCACCACCTTAGGCACAGTTCACAGCTTCTGTTGACGATGACTCATCGATGTGGAAAAAGTAGAAGAAAAGAGAAAAAAAAGACAAATTCCTGCCGGCCATTGGAAAAAAAAAAAGAGAGAACGTCTTTTCCCTCCGTCCCCCACCTCCCCCCCGGTCGCTCGCTCCGATTCGCGCGACTCTCCACGTGGACCGCAGGAGGCATCGTCCACATGGCATCCTCAACCACGCAAGTGACAAGTGACGCAGGATGGGGGGGGGGGGGGGGGGGGGGGCCGGCGAGCACGATCTGCCTGTGTGCCCAGCACTCCTGTGCGCGGTCTCATGGCTTTGAATCGGGCGGTCACGTTCGCGGGAAGCTGTCCGCCGGCAACTGCCAGTGTCCAATGTGGCCCACAGCGTGGGCTGGCCTGCCGGGGATCAGAGGAATTCGATCACTTGGATCGGAGTGGTGGTGCGTTGGGGTTGGGGGGTGGTGGGCGATCGTTGATCGTCGAGGTTGGGTCGAGGAGGCCAGAGGAGGAGGAGGATCGAGGAGAAGGAGGCTCTTGGCGCCCCGTGCGGGACAAATAGGAATCAGTCTACGCCCTCGAAGCCCTGCGCATTCTCGATGGCCATGTTCAGCCTCTCCCGCAGCTCCTCGAACGACTCGTACGGTGGAAGGTCCAGGCGGTTGAAGCTGAGGAGCGGCAAACAAAAGAGACATTGCACCAGCGGACTTGCTACCACAGGCCCTGGGAGGTCCTCGCTGACAGCACTGCAATAGGCAGGCTACACTGGAGGACCGTTTTGCCTGTGTGTGCATTCGTGTGTGTGTGTTGGTACAGTAGGTACAGTAGGGGGCACAGGTGGTGCATCAGCCAGTCATCTCGGTCATCTCAGTCAGTCGACCCGTGGCACCTGGGTCTGCCCCGTGACCTCCTGCCAGTGGGCGTCCGACACTTCCCGTGGCCTCAAGGTGCACATGGCCTGGCAAAAGCGTCGTGGTGACGTCACCGCCACTTAGTGGCAAATGGCGGTTGTTGTTGTTGTTGTGTATGCGCGAGTGCATGTATATATGCGTGTACGTGCGTGTGTGAATGTGCGTGCATGAGCTCATGTGGGTGCGCATGTGCGTATGTGCATGTGCGTGAGGTCATACGTGCATGTTCATTCATATGCATGCCCATAATAGAGTTTTTTTTGGGGTTAAATCGTGTAAATATATAAATGTGTCGTTAAAACCCACCACCACCCGACACAGCCAACTAGTAAGGTTTGTCACGTAAACAGAACGTGGCCAATTTGTCACGAGTACAGCACACCGGTGTGTTGGAGAGCCAAGCCACAACATTTACAATCTGAGTACGACGTTTCGCCAGTAATTACAACCAGCTTCATCAGGCGCCAGCCAGATTTGTGGAGAAGTCTGACTGTTTCGTTCCTTATATAGAGGCGTAGATGTGTGACCACACTTCTGCACTCTTGCAGAATGTGGGGGTGGGGGGGGGGGTTAATGAAACAACGTACATTATGCATGTCCATTATGCGAGCCCTTTGAACTTGTCCTTCCTGTCTGTTGTGTGTATTAAAATATCCGTACCAACGGTAATCCCTATTGTAGTATGCTGCCCTTCATAGGCATGCATTTAAACAATGTATCATTTGATGTTTCGCTTCCACACAGCACTAAGGCGGTAGCTATCCGAACGGTTAAAATAATTTTAATTTTTTTCAATTTTGATAGATTCTCTAATTAGTCTTGGCCAGTAGTAGCTAGTTTTGCGCAGAAATAAATTGAGTGTCCTTGTTGGCACGCGTGTTCTGCTACTGCTGACAGTTGTATTTGAGATAATTTAATATTTCTCTGATGTTATTTTAGTCTCGTGCTGATCATTCGTCCTGTTTGCCCAACATAACATTTCCCACACGTGCAGTTCATCCTGTACACACATTCTGATGATAGCTTCGGTAATAATTTTTTACCAGATATTAATTTCTGTATTTTATGTACCGTGCCAAATCTGACTCGGATATTTTGTTTTTCCAAACATCTGGCTAGTTTATCAGTTACTCCCGCAATGTACGGTATTTTGATCGTTTTAATTACTGGGGCAGTTTCAATGCTCGTGTTATTTTATTTGGTTTTGGCATTCAATGCCCTGTTGATTTGTGCATCATTGTAACCGTTCATTTGCAGCGCTTCTTTAACATGTTGAATTTCACTTCTCAGACTTGCCCGCGTGCGTGTTTGTGCGCGTATGCCCATGCGTGTTTATATTTGAGTGTGGGAGCATGTGCCGTGTGTGTGTCTGCGTGCATAGGGTCGTGCGTCTGTGCATGCGCGCGCGTGTGTGTACAAGCAAGCGAAGTGTGCGTGCGTGGGGCTTGCTGGAGTGGGTGCGAGCGTGCATGTGCTGTGTGCGTTTGTGTGCGTGTCTTACCAGGTGTGTGCTCGTGGGAGTTTCTCCGGTGCACCCCACATCTCAACTGTGAACAGCTGAGGGCCGTTGGAACCTGGCAACAAGAGGAAGACGACCACAAAGATTACGTCTCTAGCCGACGAGAAAAAACCCCCATCGTCATAACAGAAAAACCAGTGGAGGCCGGAAAAACACACGAGTTTCAGGCAACAGACAGAGACATGTACAATAAGCACTCAGACTTTGTGCAATTATGCAAAAACCATCAAGCATTCCTGAGAAATAAAATAATAAAAATAAAACATAATAAAAATAATTCTCACGACGTTTCGGCCACAACGCAAGCAGCCGTCCTCAGACACTGTCTTTCCGACAGACCTGTTCTTCACCTGAGGACGGCTGCTTGCATTGTGGCCAAAACGTCGTGAGAATTATTTTATTATGTTTTATTTTTATTATTTTATTATTTTCCTTCCACGTGACTTTACCGAAAGAACCAAGAACATGAATCCCTGCAGTCACGAAAGCTTTAAATCGAAAAGTAAGTTTATGTTTTATGTCGAACTTCTTCACTCCCCCGCGGAATCGGCAGTCATAACGAGTCTCAGCGTGAACAATTTCTAGACTTGGCTTGAGTGGCTCTGTGCTCGGAGGCCCACACCTTTAACCCTCACGCGTCGGTGAGGGCCGATGCCACCATGGCGGCGGCGGCGGCGGCGGTAAAACGCGGCGGGACCTTACCGTACAGCTCGGCGAAGCCATTCATGGGGACGCGCGATGTCCCCGTCACAAACTGCAGGAGACGGATCCTCTTCTCGGCGTCCATCAGCAGCACCGCCTGCACGCTCCCCGCAGCGACACGCAACAATTATAAAAAAAAATCCCCAGGTAAGGCCCACTGAGCCGTTCAGCTATTTTTCAGAAGCGACCTGGCCACAAATGATTGCCAAATGAAGTGGCTGAGCACGTGGAAATTTATATCAGCCAAATCCTCTAAACGCACGTTGATTCTAAATGTGGAGGGAAAAACCGGAGGACCCGGAGAAAAATCCGCGCGACCGCGGGGAGAGCACGCAAACTCCAAATACACAGCAGGCTTCAGGGTCGGGATCGAACCCATGACCTCCTCTATACGAGGCGAAGTAGTTAACATCTCGCCACGCACGATGACACGAGGTGAACGGACGACCTGGCAGGACCAGCGCCACGTGGCGAACACACATCGAGATGACGACCGCCTCACCAGATTTTCCATTAGCAATGGTCATTTAGCGAGACATTTTTAATTTAGTCACAGGTCTTACACCCTTGTACGATGACAACCACCTGCGAAATATTAGCCGGGTCTAAGTCTGCGAATTCCGCTTCTTAGTTCTCTTAGTTGAGTCGACTAAAAGAAGTCTGAGTGAATTTTTCTGCTCAAATGAGCAATGAAGCATTAGCGCTCATCTCCCATTCACTGCCCTGAACCGAGGTTGACTTCTGCAAAAATTGGTACTCGCTTTAGCGGCCACGGAGGAATGATGGAACGGAGTCAACCCCCAAACAGGATTTGATCTCGCGATCTTTCGATTGCCGCTCCCTGTTAGGTCAGAAATGTAGTCCACTCTTACTTCGTAATGGTCGGTGTGCGGGGTGCAAATTCTATTCCTCACCAATATGATCAGGTCAGCCAATCAGTGAAGTGAGCACAGCACTTACATAGCCAATCACCACTATTCATCGTCCTCAGTGCACTTCCATCTCCGATAACATTACTCAAACTATCCTCGTCCTCGTGAATTTCGTCTCCTCGGCCATTTCGCGTTGCAACGTCCGTTGAGCGGCAGTTGCGATCATCGTCGCGCTCGACAATTCCAGTCCGCTCGTAGCCTTCGCCGACTAAAATCATATAAAAGTCGACACTCCGTCGACGAATCTTCCCGCCACGAGCATCGCCGCCGAAGCGAAGTCGGGCCAAACACGCTGCGGCTCTCGCCGGACAGCGCCGCGGACTTCGCTCGCACCTTCCAGAACCACTGGACGACGGGGTGGTTGGCGCAGTAGCCGTTCTTGTAGACCGTGTGCTGCCTCCAGTTGTTCACGTCCACGTCTCCCAGGCCGCACACGAGCAGCTGGGAACACGGAGCCGCACGCGCACACACACACAGACACATGATAAGGATCCACCCGTATAGCCTGAATGGACTTTTCGATTTATAGCTTTCGTGACTGCAGGGATTCATCTTCTTGGTTCTTTCGGTAAAGTCACGTAGAAGGGAAGTAATAAATAATAAAAATAAAACATAATTAAATAATTCTCACGACGTTTCGGCCACAACGCAAGCAGCCGTCCTCAGCGTATTGAATGGGACGCTGTCTTCCCGACAGACCTGTTCTTCACCTGAGGATGGCTGCTTGCGTTGTGGCCGAAACGTCGTGAGAATTATTTATTATGTTTAATTTTTATTATTTATTATTTCCCTTCTACGTGACTTTACCGAAAGAACCAAGAAGAAAAAAACCTGAATGGAACTGTCGGGGCAAGCGCCGTTAGCGAGGAGCTCCTGTGAAGGCCGGCACGGCGCACGACGGGGTGTGTGGCCAACACCACGTCCAGCCGCCTTTGTCTTCCCAGTGGTGATGTTTACACAACAAACCAGGTACTCATTTGAGGCTGAGTCGACCAAGGGGAGGCCCAGGACCGGTTCAGATCATTGTCACCGGTGTTGGTCGTGAGTGGGAATTGAACGCGGGTCGTCAGGTACGTAGCGCAGCGCGCTAAACGCTACACTACCGCTTCCCATGCACACACGCGCACACACGTGCGGATGGAGCTTCGTTAGCAGTGGCAATGCACGCTCGCCCGTGAATCTGGGTCACATGACGGCCTGCTTCCTGGAAAACCCAAATCCCTGTGCGAGATGGATTGTCACCCCGTAGTATTTGGACCCCAAGGACAGAATACTGTGTGCATCATTTGATCAAGGGTACAAATTCTATTAAAGCAATATGACTCCCCTGTGGAAAATGACCCCCCATGGAAAAATTACTCCCCGACCGACCCTCCACCCAGGGTCAGAATTAAGCAGGGGGGAGCTTCAAATACCACAACGGGTGGGGGCTCAAATAACACATTAGATTCTGACCAAGGTTGGTCACAATTTAATATAATGTCCTGCAATCTGTGCCATATCAGAGCTAAGGTCAGAGACCGCGTGTTTGCGAGCTGGCATGGCATACTCCGCCTGCAAGATCAGCACGTGCGATGACGAGGACAGAAAGGAAAGATGAAATGCAAGCGTGGAGCATTGAACACCGATGGCCGAATGGACAGGCGTGTTTTGGGCAGGCGTCTTCTCTTCAACGACCGCCGCATTTGGCAGTCCCTACCTCCAGCTCATTTTCGTCAAATATCTTGATCAGGTCCATGGGTATCAGCTCGCAGAAGCCCTGCACAAGACAAGCACAAGTTTCGAAGGCTCCGCGCTGTGGTTTACATTGCACAGCGATGGTGCCAAACGCAGTTCTACATTTCCACAGCCTGCTCCTCTTGGATAAGCATCCACGCTTCACAGTCGTACAGCGACGGTGAACCCAACGTTACTTTTAGCCATCCTCATCCGCACCTCCCATTAGCACGGCTGGCCACGTACAGTGCGAAATATGTTCAAGATGCAAACACATCTTCTTGATGGTGGCGCACGTGTGCCTCGCATTCACGAACGCGGTCTTTGCCGAAGCTGCCGCTTGGTGATGACATTGGCAAGGCCACCAACAAGTGTTTGGGGCCAAGGGGAGAAAAAATGCCAAATGAGGCCTCCTCTCGGGCCCTTTCTAAGGCCCCCTTTGATCTGAGGCCTACGGCTTAAATGCGCCACCTGCCTTTCCTCTCTACGGCCCTGAGCACGCGTGCTCAGGGCTCCAAGACCGCGCTGCTGCAACCACCGACCGTGCGGGTGGGCCCACGTCTCACCTCCATGAAAGCGTTCATTTGCTTCTGGACTCTGCTGACGAACCTCCACTGGATCACCAGGCTGACCCGTGGGCAAGGGCAGCAGCACATGCGTACAGACAGGGGACACGCACACACAAAGACAAAGATCCCCCACAGAGCTCTTAACAGACTTGTTGGGACAACAAACAGACGCACGTACACACACACGCATAGAGGCTCGTCATCTCCCCAGGGAGTTTACCACTATCGCCATCTCATCGCTCACCCCATCGTCCACATCCCCACCCACCCATCGTGCACTTTCAGATGCGATTCTGCGGCCATCTGGAATGCTCTTCCTTCCAACATTAGGAAGCCATGCACTTTTAAATCTAGATTGCAAACGTATTCCTTTACAACTGCTTTTTAAATTAGTTTGTTGTACTTTCCCCGCACCTCCAATTAGCGCGTTTGGCGACATACGGAGCGCAAAAGAACTTCAACATACATACCCATCGCAACGAGGTTGTCTACTTTCCCAACTTCTCCACGCATGCACGCACACCGAATTACCACCAACGCATCCGCACGGGCGCGCTGCTCTCCCCGCGAACGTCGCGCTCAAGAACGGTAGCCCCGCGCGTGCGTCGCCTTGCGGGAGAGGCGAGAGAGTCAGTTATTTTTTTTGTCTGTGGCCAAGCCTCAGAAAAACACCAACTCTGCCAGAGAAATTGAAAACATGTGTGGCTCCGCCGGCACCGAGCCATTGGGGCATGCAGTCGCGTCAACCTCCAAATACCCCCCCCCGCCGCCCCCACCCACGGCCCGATACTGCAGAGACTGCTTGAGGCGAGGAGGGTCGACGGTTCGCACGGCGGAATTTAAAATCCAGAGGTCGCCGATTCGATACGATCCTCTGGCGCGCGGCGCTTGAAACGACGGTGAGAGTATATTGAGCCACCCAACCACTACCCCCCCTGCCCCCCCCCCTCCTCCAGCCCACCTCTGTCCATCCGGCAGTATAAATGTGTACCCTGCAGTTCGTCAATCGGCGGGTCGCGTGCGGCGGTGTCCGGCCGGTGTGAAAGAGTAGGCCAAAATACCCTCTAGTGGAGCTCTCTGGTGGTCCCTCTAGTGGAAGGTCCCTGTTGCCAGGAGTCTCATGAGGAGCAGGCAACCGCAGGCTGCACCTTCACCCTCTATCCGCACCTCCCATGAGCACGGTTGGCTACATACATACAGACCTACCCCGCTCTCTCAGCTCCCCCAGCCCCAGCAATGCAGAACTTCTCTGTGGTGAAGAGCCGCTGGGCTGACAGAGCTCACTCCCCACTCACATCGTGGCAGCGCTGTGTTTTGGTCCGAGCAGTTGGTGTTCACAGTCCCTGGCCCCATTGAATTCCTCGCACAAGGGCCCTATGCCAACCTCGCTACGCTACTGCGTCCACGGTGGCAGTAGCGTGGCGGGGTTGGCATCCGGCCCTGGTGCGAGGAATTAAATAAGGCGCTCCGTACAATTCCTAACCCTGCTCCGTCTACGTAGCCTGGTGCACGGGCTCCTGCTGCCCGTAGGCCACGGTGTGCACCCAGGAGCTGTGCCACTGCGCGTGGCTGGTGCATAGTAAATTCCGCGTCTGACACGTGAACCTCTAAGCAGACCTTTGTCTAGCACAGGATGGCACACTGCTGGCTGTGAGAGTTACACATGGAATTCACGCCATCAGAATGTGATTTGGCAAAAATAATACTTGAGCTTTAGTTTTGAGCTCTGAAATCGATCCTTTTTCCATTGCATATTTAATAAAAGTTCAGTACAATAACAATATGAAATCATCTTGCCTGGCCATCATGCAATCTCTGCCTATGATGAGAAGATGTAACGTCACATTCAGAGCGATGCTAGTCCACGATGTTGAATGAGTTGAGCGAGGGGGGCTCGGGGAGCTTGTGACCCAGCACAGTGAGGTTTTGGCAGAACACACGAAGATTTCATAATAAAGGTTTCCGGGGAAAATCGCGTAAGTATAAAAATGTCCTAACCCGCCACCGCCCGACAGCCAACCAGTAAGGTTTGTCACGTGAACAAACCGTGACAATTAGTTACTACTTCAGCCCACCGGTGTGTTTGAGAGTCAATCCGCAACATTTACAATTTGAGTACCGTGACATTTCGCTGGCGATTACATCCAGCATCGTCGGGTTACGACACTTCTCATACTCACGCGATCTCACCCAAAAAACTCCTCACCACGAATGATATTGGTTGCAAAAGCCTCCTACGTGTCAAACTGACACGGCGATTTGTGAAATGCCCAAACCCAGTGAGCTGCGAGGTGGCCACGAGGTGGCAGTACAGCAAGTGGGTTTACCCACTGCGGGCGTTATCTCCTCATATATACGTGGTGGGTTGTCTCCGGGCACTCCGGCTTCCTGCCACGTGCAATCCCAATGCAGGACTCTCCTGAAAAAGTTCCCAGAGATTGACTGACAGTCGAAAATCTAAATTCGAATCCGCAAATCTGTTTATCAGTCTTTAATTGACCCCGTCGCCAAGTTTGATGCGATTCGAAGATTTATTCAGTCGACTGAGACTTGCTAAAAAAAGGTCAACATTGATCGTTGATTTGGGTCCGATGAATCGAGAATGCATCCGACTAAGTCTAGTGGCACGAGGAGTTCAATATTGCCTGTGGAAAACGGGGGCAGCCAATCGTCATCAGGCTGGGTGCTGCTCTACGGCAACGGACTGTGAATCTTCGTATTCAGCTGCTCAGAACATTCATCTTCTGACTGCTACGACATCACGAGAACCGATTTTGACGCACCACCACCCGCAAGACTTTGTGACTGGGAAAATAAATTATTATTGTGAAAAATTTCCTTTTTTTTTCTCTACCGTGCACCTCCGGTGTACCGCCAATTACGTTTAAATAAATGACGCCATGAGTCTTGCTGCTGCTGTGTTAGCATCACCCGCACGGGGACTCACTCGATGTACTCTTTCTTGTTGTCGTTGGTGACCACGATCTCGGATCCGTTTGGCAGCAACTCGACTTGATGGGTCTGGAGACAAGAAGAAGAAAACCATCACCGGTCAGGCTACACGTCTGTGAGATGGTTCATGGAGATGGCAGCTCCCATCCCCCCTGACCACCCCCCCACACCCCCTCGCCTCCCCAGCCCTCCAAGCACGACAGCGCAATAACGAGCTCGTGAGCTCCAACGTGGCTCGTTGAGACGCGACTCGTCAGCACCTTGTCCTTGGATGACGAAGACCACACGTGCCCAGTGACGTTTGTTCATAGGGTGGCTCTTCATCCATCAGTGTATTGACAAGAGGCTATATATGCATCATTGTTATTAACTAAGGGAACTACTGACAGTTCAACAGAACAAATCTCCAAAACTTCTCATTATTATTTTTTTTAGCGAGAGTTCCATTTCTCGCAATCTGCAATGGCCGTGGTGGTGGCGGTGGCACTAACAGGTGGCGCTCTCTGGTGTAAAGCGTCAACAGCTTCGCTCGCTCGCTGACTCGCTTGCTCTCTCGCCCGCTCGCTCTGCTCCACCGCGTGGGGGCGCGGGGGCAACGCGGGGACAACGCAGGAACAAGGGGACGGCCGGTGCTGCCAAACGCGAGTGGGGATTTTCGGCAGGTGGCATGCGTCTCCCCCGGACATTTTTCGTGTCGCCGTTAAGGGCACAGGGCCTGGCCGGGAGCCGGTGGTGCGCACGACAGTGGCCGGTTAAGCGTCTCGGAGAACGACGTCGCCCGAGCGCTGGCTCACACGTTCCGGTGACGACTTGCGCCGAGGACGGGCCCGGCACGTTTGGTTTGGCGTCACGCGGCTTTTAAAAGCCTCCGTTTCTCTAAATCACCGTCCCCCCCCCCCCCCTACCGGATACGCTGAGCTCTCTACCCAAAGGGCATCGGCGCCACCATATCCTGGCTTTCCAGGGTGTGATGGCAGTACAGCAAGTGGATTACATTCCTAGATTCCATCATTACGGAAAAATAGTGTTACATCCCCCCCCCCCCACCCTTCCTCCTCCCTCCACTCCCTTGTTCCCCGCCAGCCCCCCCCCCCCACCTCGCCTCACACAAGTGAGTTTTCTCCAGGTACTACGGTCTCCTGCCACGTGAATAAACATTCATTAATGGAGTTGTGGCAAACATCCCAATCGAGGGCTGCAGAGCTTGGATAATTGTTGGCGCCGGTTCTGGGTGCCTTCCCTGCTTGTCGGCGGTTTCCCCAGCGCCCCTGTGCAAAAGCTGATTCTACAGCGTTTCAAAGATGCAATTTTGCAAGAACGATGTCGGATAAAAGCAAACCCTCACTCTTTTTATTACGGCTCAGCACCATGTTCCACAATGACCGAATCTGAAAATCGATACCGCAAATTACTCAACTGGGAAACACACAGCGGGGTGGTCGCCCCCTTGCTTAATAATAATTCACATTTATAATGCAAGTTATGAATTTGAATTATTACTATTATTATTAGCGAAGATTTATCTCAACCCTCCCTTAAAAAGAGTCGGTGAGGTTTTTACCCCTGAGTAAACAAGCCTCATGAACAATCACAATAATATTCTTGGTTCTTTCGGTAAAGTCACGTAGAAGGGAAATAATAAAATAATATTGATATAAAACAATACAAATTCTCACGACGTTTCGACTGCAACACAAGCAATCATCATCAGGTGTGGTGATGATGATATTTTTTTTCAAATTTTCTTGCTGTGGATTTCACACCTGATGATGATTGCTTGTGTTGCAGTCGAAACGTCGTGATAATTTATTATGCTTTATTTTTTTATTATTTCCCTTCTACGTGACTTTACCAAAATAACCAAGCATATGAAAGCTTTAAATCAAAATCACAATAATCTTGATTTGAAGCTTTCGTGACTGCAGGAATCCATACTCTCTGGTTCTTTCGGTAAAGTCACGTGACTTTACCGAAAGAACCAAGGAGTACTAGTATAATTGCATGGCTTTTTAAAATTAAAATAACAATGTTTACCAATTGTTTCACCCTTTGAGATGAACCATGCCGGAGAAGAAGATGTTTGAGAGTGGAGCAAGCAAAAGAAAAAAAACAAGAGAAAACGCGGAATAATGAAGAACTGCTCAGTAAATCTCCAAACTTGTTTGATCTCCGGTTCAAACGTAGGTATAAAATAAAATAAATCGGGTGATTACGGACGCTTGTGTTGCGCCCGAAACGTCGTGATTTGTTTTATTTTATACCTACGTCACTTTACTGAAAGAACCGAAGAGTAAAATGACAATAATGATTAATTAAATTTGTTATTGGCGAGGATTGTCGCGGGAGACGTTCCTCAGAGCGCCGCCGTGGAGTGTGTTCGCTCCGCACCTGCCCGAAGAGCTCCTCGTCGATGCAGAAGCGCAGGTCGAGGTCCGTGGGATCGTTCTCGAGGATCCACATGAGCGAGTTGAAGTACTCGCTGTCCTGCAAGCAAGAGGGTATTTATAGAGACGCTCTCTCCCGCTCCCTCCCCCTCCCTCCCCTCGCTCGCTCGCTCTCGCTCTCGCGCTCTCCCCGAGCGAGCGAGCTCCTTGCGTTACACCAAAATAGCGAGCTAATGCGACGGCGCTGGATAAATCATAACTCGGAACGTTCAGAATTTTAATGGCGCGCGAAAGGCTGTGGCACCAAGTGGGACGCGTGCACGCACGCGCGTACGTACACACGTACGTACACACGCGCATATGTACACACGCGCGTGTGTATGTGCGCACACGCGTGTGTACGTAGACTTCCATGAGAATCGGCACCGAAACAAACGCTCCAGAAGACGGCAGGAGACTCGGTCCAGAATGAGACGAAGGCCCCGGGAATTGTCAGTTTTGGGAGAAGCCTTCACTGAGATAAGGAAGCCAGAAACTTAAGAGACTGTACACAAAGCAAGCCTGAAAGCTGGCACTCTGCACATGATAGTATCTACTTGTATTGTGCCCTTTAAATACAATTCATTATTCAATTCTTTGTAAATTATTATTACATTTATCGGGTGTATATTTGTGCAAATGCAACACCTATCAAAACGGTCAATGTAACATCAGACCCATCTATAAATGGAGTGGAGCGGTGGCACAGTGGTTCGCGCACTAAGCTCTCAACTCGGCTACTTGAATTGTGTTCCCGGCCACGGCCAACGTAAGCCGTGAGTGGAATCTGAACCGGCCCTTGGCACCATCTGCTTGTGGTCAAAACGTCAAAAGTCTAAATGATTTCCTGCCTAAGCAAGCATTGAGACGGTAATCGACGTCTGTCTACAGCCCTGAGCCAGTGGTGGAAACTCCCCATTCCTTCCGGTGGGGGGCAGAGTCCATCCACAGGACAGCTACTGTTGACTCCTCCACAAAGTGGTTTGCTATTTTATCTACCCCGGGGTGTATTATGGGCTGAGTTAATCCCCGAACCGGTATCAGCCACCATCGCTGGATGAATATCTAAATGTATGTATATGTATAAACAAGTGATGTGCCACCACACAGGGTCTATCCACTGCTGGGTGAACACCTAAAACCCGTGTTCTGCCACTGTGCGGAGTGGGTGGGGCGGGGAATACAGGACACAAAGGTCGCAACCGGGTACCCGATACCCGTACCCTACCCGATACCCGGCTACCCGTACCCGGCCGGGTACGGGTACCTGTTTGCGACCCTGGTGCGGCCGGGTACGGGTAAGGAATCAAAACCCGTTTGCGACCTCTGACAGGAAATGCAGCGCGTCCCATCGCGGGTGCAGCGGACAGCCGACCAGGCTGTAGGGCCCCCTTCACATTCCACGGATTCTGCGCTCTTACCATCTTGGCTTTAAAAAACAAATAGTGCGCCCTGCCAGCACGGCTCGCCCGACCCGCGGCGTGTCAAAACACACGGCGCGGGTGGTATTTTTAAATCCCAAGAGCCGGCCGATCTTATTACGGCTGCGAAGAGGCACAACGTTTGGCCGTAATTCGTGCAACGGCATTGGGCGGAGCGTCGGAGCGGCAGGTTTTGCGCGCAAGCGACGAAGCCCGGCGACCTGAGTTCGATTCCCTGCCGCGGTTAACACCAGAAGCCTCATCGGGCCTGGGTCACCCACCCCCGCACTGAGCACGCTGACTGGCGTGGTGAAGAATGGCAAAGTAACCACCATGCCACTGGCACGCCTACACCGAGTAGGTTTTGCACGGGTGTTCTGTGCAACTTGCAAGAGTGTGGATTTCGATTTAAAGCTTTCGTGACTGCAGGGATTAATCTTCTTGGTTCTTTCGGTAAAGTCATGTAGAATGAAAATAATAAAATAATAAAAATAAAACATAATAAAATAATTCTCACGACGTTTCGGCCACAACGCAAGCAGCCGTCCTCAGGTGGAGAACAGGTCTGTCGAGAAGACAGAGTCTGACTGTCTGACTCTGTCTTCTACGTGACTTTACCGAAAGAACCAAGAAGAAGAGTGTGGATGTTAAAGATGCCCTCACTGTCGCCTCTCAAAAGTGGGCCATCAGTGTGCCAGCGTCAGGGTCAACATTCTCCAAATTACCCACAAGTTACTCAATTGGGTTTCTACAAATGTAGCTGCCCCAGAGCGTTTGGAACGACCTCTTTTTGAACCACCTCCTTTGGAACCAGTTTCGTCAGCTTGGCGTCTCATTCTAGCATCTCTGTCCTCATTGAAACTGACTCGATGAACATCCCTAGAGTTTAAGTTGTGAATGTAATCGTACAACACTCGCCTCGCCCGTCGCCCCCACTGATGTGTGAATATACTACTGACTCTATATTAGATACTACTGACTATTGTATTTACTTTTTACCCCTACACACGGAGAAACGAACACACGAAACGCCGGCCTCATCCTGGCCTCTTGAGATTCCCCCTGGTTAGGTATCTGTCCAACGTTTCACTGCACGTGCTTCTCGAGGATTTTGAATCCAGTTTCGCACGGGGAGCGATATGATGCACGTCACACCAAGTGACACACGGTGCGGCCCCGAAAACACGACAAAGAAATTCCCCAAGGCCAATACGGCGCAGGGCGGAACTTTGTCCAGCGGTGGATAGAACCACGGGGCCGCTACGTTACGTTCACCCAGATCTGTAAGAATGCTGGCGAACTGAGTGAAACAACGCGGACGCCCAGAATCAACCACACGTGACTGGCAGTAGCCACAGCCATTAGCGAGAGGAGCACTGGATATGGTCCTCCAGGGCACTGACCTGGACACAGCCGGGTTTAAAACCGAGCCCTGAGACGAAGCCCTCCAAGTGCAAAACACGCCATGGGACCAGGGGAGATAGATGGACGTCAAAGGACGGAGGGACGCACGCGCGCGCATTGGCTCACCACAGACTCCATGTCGGTCAGCGTGATGGGCTTCTGCAGCATCATCTTGTAGTAGGGGCGGATGAAGAACCCTGCAATACACGGCCAGGCAGGCACGTCCCGCTCAAAATCCTCAGCAGCAGCAATAGCAGCAGCAACAGCTCGCTACTGAAGCCTCGATTTGCTGTTGCCTCCGGAAAGGGTTTTCCGGGACGAGAACATACAAAACCTACACATAAAGGCACCCGATTCAGGAATCGAACCCAGGTATTTCTTGCTGCAAGGCAGGAGTGTTAGTGCTGCAACGGCCCTGCCGCACCACGATCCCTCGCTGGGACGCGCCGACTCTCACCGTCCAGGAGCTTGCCGTGGTAGACCGCCATGCCGGCGACTCGCCCGATGAACTTGAAGTAGGAGAGGTGCTCCTCGTTGCAGAGGCCAGAGTTGGGGTTGATCTGCAGCGTGTAGTTGTCCCTACGATGTGGCATGGCCCCAGGGGGTCAAAGGGCATTGTGGTTATCTATTTGTTTATTTATTTATATACACACACGGTTGCTAAAAACGGGCCCAAAGGCCCAAAACTTCCAGCGACCGGCAATGAAAGCAAAAAAAATTCGAAGTTGGAAAATATGAAAGGTAATGCGTTTCTTCAATTGAGCTAGGTTATTATTTTTGTAAGAGCTCGTTGACTTTCGTCCACTCGGCACAATTGATTAAAATTCAAACAAACACTCCGTTGACAAATATTTTCGTCACTAATTTGCGACGTCAGAATTAACACGGGTACACAACCAAGGCTGCGCGTCCGAAATGAGTTTGAAGATCCATCGACGAGAACAATGCATTATAGTTACAATCCTTATGGGACTCTGGCGACATCACTTTGACACCGCAACACACAGACTTTATCGCGTTTTTTGTGCGGCGGTGACGACGACGCTGATGATCACGGAGAGTTTGTCGTCCATATAATCAGCCTACTCTCAAACATAAGCAGGACAACAACATCTTCTGTGAGTGATCATGCTCTTCCAACGCACCCGCTCTCTACTCATCGAATCGGTAGCTTGGAAGAAACCGAATCCCATCACCACTCAACGCTCCACGCTAACGCAACGGGATCCTCCGCCTCGCCCCATGATGCGCGCGCCCAGCAGTGAACATCACTGGGGGTGGGCGGGTGGGGAGTGGCGGGTGGCGAGGGGGCAACAGGCACACAACCAAGCGAGCGTACGCACGTGGCCGAGTACTCGAAGAGCCCGTAGTAGGGGTTGAACATCTCCTTGGAGATGAGGAAGAACCACTCGCGTGCGACGCCGCCGTAGTCGAGCCCCTTCTCCGTCTCGAACTCGATCCAGAGGCGCGCCTTGAGCAACTCCGTGCGCTTCACCGCCATGATGCGTCGGTACGACTCCTCCAGGATGCTGCCGCGGCGCAGCTTCATCTCGAAGCGGTTCGGCACGTCCGTCTGCGAGCGAGGGGGAAGCCGCGGGCCCAGCCGTGCGTTAGCGCGAGCGGGAGGCCGCTGTGTCGTCGTCGTCATCGGGGGTGAAAGGGGGGTGGTCGCAGGGCTTCGGATTTTGAACGCCACCGCCAGCCGCCCCCCCATCCCCCGCGCCCGTTTTCCCCGCCACAAGAAATGTCCGCCGCTTTTATCCCTCCGTTTTATTTTTGCACGTACTCATGTACGTTGAGCTTCTTTCGCGCCGTACGCAGCCAACCGTGTGGGTGAAGGCCAACAAACTAACAAACTGAACACACAAAAAGCGGTTCTAAAGCAGTGAGTTTTCAAATCTCGATGGTTTCAAAGGGCATAGCTCCCAGTGGCCCCCTCATATCGAAAGGAAGAGCGTTTCATGGCCACCTTGACCACAGGGTCTTCCACGTCAAAGAGCCCGTGCAGGCTTGAGATCTCGCAATCAACGCTCCCGAGTCGGATTACTGTTGAGACCGTAACGATGTGATGAACCCGAAGGTGTCATTTGCCCATCGTAGTCACAGCAACTCTACGTGCTTTCTGCCGGTCGTGTGCCGAGATTAGAAACGTGAACTTCGAGCATTTGGCTGCGACACATGTCCACTGTGAAAAGCCACTCCGTTGAGCTATCATTTGTGGCCAGGTCGCATCTGATAAAGAGCTTAATAGCTCAGTTGGGCCTTGCCTGGTAAACAATAAAAATAACGTAGTTTGTTTGCTGGAACTTTGAAATAGCTTCACAATTCGTGGCCTCACATTCAAAACCCAGAACTGAAATAACTCAGGGGGACAACAGCGGAGCGTTTGGCATCATCAGGCACGGGTGGTAGGTGAAACAGTCAAGGGAAGGAATCTCATCTACAGAGGGCCCCCCCCCCACAAAACAATAACATCCATGCCCCCCCCCCCCCCCCCCACAAAACAGGTGCAGTTGCACTGCCTGCACACCCGACGGCGACGCCACTGGACGAGCACCTCCATCGTGACGTGGCATCTTCCCGGCCACAAACGTCATGGGTGCCACCTTTCGCGATTGCCACCGCCGTGAGCGCCGCCGTCACCGTTCGAGCGAGCGCTGTCTGTGTGCACGCCACCCCCTTGCACGGGGAGGCAGAGATTGTACGCAGCTCCCCTGCCTCCCCCACTCACCGGCTTTTTTAGTTTCTTCCGGAAGAAGTCGTACTTCTGTTTGTAGTCCCGTGAATATGGCACGGCCTGCGGGAAGCACGAAAACGCCGCTCTCAGTCTTTTGGAGAAACAAAAAGCATTATATTCATGCGTTCCAAAAATACTTCACCTGCAAATTCGCCCCGCGAAGGGATATTTCATTTTCAAGTCTCTCGCTCGTTGAGCAGCGCCGGAAGGGGCTTAAGGCGGCACTGTCAAAGTGGCAGCGGAGCTTTGAAGGCACGAGGAATAAAATCGTGCGTACGCGTGTATCCTTGAACGCTTTTTTCCAACGTGCGTTTTTTTGCCCTTGGAATTGGCGATAGCAACGTTCACTTCGGGCCACGCAATGAGCTGACCCCATGAGTCACGACGTCGTCGGGCGGGGGTGGCGCAAACGCGTTTGGCCGCCCAGGCAAATCCTTCCAGCATTGTTGTGTTTTTTTAAGTCGCCGAATTCTGGGCAACGCTTGAAAAAAGTTGCCCAGTTTTCTACCGAGGCACCCCGTTGGCGAAATGTTATCTACCTCGCCCGGATAAAAATTCACACGGCCGCGGGGAGAACATGCAGGCATCATGATCGGAAATCGAACCCATGACCTCCTGCACACCAGGCGAGGTAGTTAACATCTGGCCACCGTGACGGTCCAAGGCAAAACATGAGGTGCCCTTGCCAAGTGCTGCCACTCACTGGGCCCGTGATCGCCGGGCTCTGCAGTCTTGGGTCCTCCCACTGCGTGTTCTTGGTGTCTGAACGAAACACATTCATCAAAGTGCATTTAGACGCCTACCGCTCAAACAACCTCCGGCGGACGACTACCACGCCGGAGTGATACACCAGCGACTCCGCCTGGCTCGTTTTAGCCGGCACCATCACCACCACCACCGTCAGCGAGCCGGCCGGCTGACTGCTCGCAATCGGAAGGTCGCGAGTTCAAAGCCTGGCTGGGGCTGGGTCAACCCGCTTTGTGTGGAAGTCATCAGTGTTATATCTTATTGATAAACTCACACTCCCACTATAGGAAAAGTGTACATTTCTGTCACCAGCTTAGGCTGTAAACATGAAGATAAGAGTTCAAAATAACTCGTAAACAAACACCTTGTGAAAGACACAACACAGAAGATCCCTGGGTTAGATTTTCCACGAAGCTCATGGTCCACCCTAAACCGCATCCACTGCACAAACCATGGCAGTAGATGCGGACGCCTGATGCACAAATGTAAAATTAAAAACTCTCCAGGCGTGCGCGACTGTGGTAATCCAGAACAGACCGTGCAACATGTAACGACGCAACGCCCGATCCACATATACGACGGAGACATCGCAGCTAAGCACTCCGCTACCGCTTCTGACACGGTTATCTGGCTCCACCGCCCGAACGCGACATCGCAGTTGTTGCTCTGCAAACACCATCGGCCGTACGAGAGCGAGCGAGCGAGCGAGAGAGAGTGATCGTTCGAACGGCAGTAATCCGCCCCCGGCTGGACGTCGTGACGAGCGCGAGTGGAGCGACGTGGCGAGGGCGGTGCGCCGGGTTGCGGTGGCGGCCGCCGTAGCGCCTCTTACTGTGGTCGATGTAGAAGGTCCTCCCGTCCGTGTGCACCCGCTCCTCCCAGCCGGGCTGCGGACAGGGAGGGGACGGCAAACGTCTCGCTCAGAGCGCACGGCAGCGGCGAGAGGCTCAACGGGGGGCTGCGTGAGTGCCACTCACGGACGAGGGTACGCGGTGGGTAGCAACGAGTGCCAATGGGTGACGGTGGGTGGTGGGTGGTGGGTGGTGGCGGTGGGTGGCAACGAGTGGCAATGGGTGGCGGTGGGTGGTGGTTGTGAGTGGTGACGGTGAGTGGTGGCGGTGGGTGGCAACGAGTGGCAATGGGTGGCGGTGGGTGGTGGTTGTGGGTGGTGACGGTGAGTGATGGCGGTGGGTGGCAACGAGTGGCAATGGGTGGCGGTGGGTGGTGGTGGTGAGTGGTGGCGGTGGGTGGTGGTGGTGGGTGGTCGCGGTGGGTCACGGGGGCCCAAAACCGCCTCAGCGGCTCGCGTTATTCAGACGAAGCCAGCACAGCAGAACCTCTGGAGGGCGCAAGCTCCCCGCGTCAGAGCCCGCAGGCGGACTCTGACGCGGCCCGCTAACCCCGGAGCCGCCGCGTGGCCGTCAGTCCATCGCCGCGCCCTCTCGTGTGCGGACAGTCGTTTTCAAATTGGCTTTGACGAGAAATTGTGGTGGTGGCGGGTTTAACGACACAGTTAAATTCACCCCCGCCCCCCCCCCCCCCTGCCCGCCACACCTACGGTGCATGCACCGAGATCGAGAGCGGAATCGGTTCGGACGAAACCCTCGCCACCGCGGGGTGAGGTCGGAGGAGAGATGGTGACGGAGGGCGGGCGGTGTTCAGGCGGTTTCTCACCGGCAGGTTTAGGGTTGGCGTTGGGGTTAGGGATGCGAGTTGGAGACAAGAGGATGGGGTTAAGGGTGGGGTTACCATTAGGGTTATGGTTACGAGTTGGTTAATGTTCGGGTTGGAATGAGAATGCGATCTAGGGTTAGGTTGAGGATAAGGGCTAGCGGTAGGGTTAGTTTGAGGGTTAGGGGCTCTGGCTACATCAGCATGAGGTTGATCGTTTGGTTTTGGTTAGGGCTGGGGGCTATGTCTAGCGTGAGGGCGTTCGTCGCACACACACACACAGACAGACACACAGACACATACATATATAGACACACACACATACATATAGACACACACACAGACACACACATATACACACACAGACACACACACATAGACACACACACATATAGACACACACACACATATAGACACACACACACATATAGACACACACACACACAGACACACATAGACACACACACATATAGACACACACACATACATATAGACACACACACAGACACACACATATACACACAGACACACATAGACACACACACAGACACACACAGACACACACACAGACACACACACACAGACACACATATATATACACACACAGACACACACATATACACACAGACACACATAGACACACACATGCACATACACACACATACATATAGACACACACACAGACACACACATATACACACAGACACACATAGACACACACACAGACACACACACACAGACACACATATATACACACACAGACACACAGATATACACACACACATAGACACACACACACAGACACACACGCACATAGACACACACATGCACACACACACACACATAGCATAGACACACACACACATAGCATAGACACACACACACATAGCATAGACACACACACATAGCATAGACACACACACAGACACACATAGACACACACACATAGCATAGACACACACACAGACACACACATATACACACAGACACACACACAGACACACACACAGACACACATAGACACACACACAGACACACACACACAGACACACAGATACACACACACAGACACACACACACAGACACACAGATACACACACACACATAGACACACATACACAGACACACACACATATACACACACAGACACACACACACACATAGACACACATACACAGACACACACACATATACACACACACACACACACAGACACATAGACACACAGACACACACACACAGCCACACACACACACATAGACACACATACACAGACACACACACATATACACACACACACATAGACACACACATGCACACACACATAGACACACACATGCACACACACACAAACGCACACCGCTGGCATGACACTCACAGGCAGGGGCCCCAGCTCAGAGGGGTCCAGACTAGGCCGGGTCCGCATGTGCACAGGAACCTTTAACCGCGGGTCGTCCTGCCGTCAGCGCACACGCACACGAGCACAGCGCACAGCACATGCAGTGGCGCTCATAGCAGCAGCGGCGGCATCGGCATCGGCAGTCCAACAGGCAGGTGCAGGGCAACCAGGGGTCAGAGTGTGCACGACATCGGAACAATGTCGTAAGTTCCGTTAAAGAATAAGAGGTTGCCGTGACTCGATGTTGGGTGTCGTAAAAGTTACGAACATTTTTAACGAGCGATCAGGGTCTATGTGTGCACCGTACGTAGCCAACCGTGCTAATCGGAGGTGCGGCGGAAGGACTAAAAAACTGTAATTAACATCATTGACGTTGTTAACATGAACAATACGTACCTCCGACAAAGAGCAGCTGCTGAGAACAGAGTGATGGCTTCATGCGGGCCACGTTGCATTGTGGGGGGGGTTGTTTCCCTACAAGGCGATTGGCCGGTCTAGTGCAGGTCACGACGTAACCCCTCGCAATATCTCTCGTGAGAGTTATGTTCGCACTGCGACATCCACAGCTACTTCCGACGTACGATACATTTTATCCTACGACGTCGAGGATCGTGCTACAGCCGAAGCCCGCCCGCGACACGTCGCGAGAGAATTTTGCGAACTCTGGCCCCAGCTCCACATGCCCCCCGCCGCCTCTAGCTGCGAGCCATGCCCCTCACCGACAGTATCGTTCGTGAACTTGATGATACGAACAGGGCCGATTCGTCGATTAAAACCCTTTCCCATTCCGTCAGTTTTTATTCCGATTCCGTTCCGATGACGTGCGCGTACGCACGTGACCGGAGCGCGCCACACGCGCGGTGAAAAGAGGTGAGGGGAGTTTTTGTTTTTTGTGAAAACATCGCCACTGGGGAGACAAAGGCGGCCGGGCGTGGTGTTGGCCGCTCACCCCTTGGTGTGCTGTGCCGGCCTTCATAGGTGCTCGCTAACAGCACTTGCCCCAACAGAATGTTAAGGCTATATGGGGAATATTTGTCTTTGTTATACTGCACACATAGTGGAAGGTGGACCCTCTGTTGATCAGCTGATCCATCAGATTAACTCTCGCGGGAAGAGGCCGTGCCACTCCCTTCGGTTCATCCAACTCGCAGCCACAACATCCTCCTCCTGTTACAGAGCTATGTGGAGGTGTGGCCTCGTGTGTGATCTGTGGAGGTGTAACAACATCAGCGACCGCGCACATTTTTTGGTCGTTTGTTTTTTTTACATCCCATCAGCCACGCAGATTTCTGAGAGTGCATCATTGCAGCAGCATTGGTTCAACACAAGCAAACTCTGGACCGATTTTCCACATTCAGTACCTCGTCAGGAAAAGTGAGGCCTGCTTGACCCAATGCTCGTGAACTGCCAGATGTCCATAGGCAAGGATCCTCGTTGACTGTGTGTGTGTGTGTGAAGTGTGTGGATGGTGGGCAGGCCAGCTTGAATGTTTAATGCTGGCACCGGCGTTCCTACGAAGGGGCCCACGTCTTGCAAGCGTAGAGAAGGCACAACTGTGGCCGAATTGTCCCAGAACGCCCTATGGAAGCACAGGCTCGGCAGCTTCCACACGGCTTCACCTATGCGGCCAATAGAAAACTTACACCCCTCGACTGATTTGAAGCGAGACCTCCAATGTCAAGAGAGAGCTGGTCATGAGCCACTGGGCGACGGGCGTGGTGCTGGCCACCCAATGCCTCGCGTGCCACAGTGCCGGCCTTCATCGGCGCTCGACAGCAGCGCTTGCCCCAACAGCCTGTTGAGGCTACACGGGGAGCAGGGTCTTTGTCGTCTTTGCATTGTCCAGTGTTCAGCGCACGTCACACGCGGTGCATCTGCCAGCCATCTCGTTCGTGTGTGTGGCGTGGGTGCGACCCTGTGCGCGCGAGGTGGCGCACGCGCGACCCCCGCCCCCTGTACGCACCCACGTGGTCGTCCGCGCGTTGTGGTCGATGAAGAAGGGGCGTCCGTTGGGGGCGAAGCGCATCTCCCAGCCGGGCGGCATGAACGCCGTGCCGGAGCTCGGCTTGTGCTGCTGCTTGGGCGAGCCGAGCGGCGAGTCGTCCGGCGAGAATTGGGGCGACTGCGGCGACGGGAAGGGAACTCTGTTCCGCTTGGGCTGCGTCGCCTCCCTCAGGTTCTGCGCGGCACAGAAACGGCGACGGCGGCGCGAGGGGCCACAAAATAGGGGTGCATCAACTACCAGCTCGAACAGCAGTAAACATAACAAAGCTGCGTCAAGTTAAGATGCATGGATGTGTGTCGGACTTCTTCCGCACCGTACGTAGCCAACCGCACTAATCGGAAGGTGCGGGAGAAGGACGACAGACAAAGCACAAAAAGCAGTTCGACGAAATTAATTTTCAATTTAGACTTAAAAGTGCATAGCTCCAGTGGCTTCCTAATATGGGACGGAAGAGCATTCCAGACGGCCGCAGACACGTATCCGAAAGCGCGCGATGCGCTGACCGTCCTTGCCCGACGGTTAGCCGAAAGCTGATTCGTCTCTCCCACCTCCATCTCATCTACACCCCTCTTCCCTCATCTCACTACATCTCTATCTCTTGTCTACGTCTCTTCTCTCATCTCACTCGGGCCCCCGACCGGATGGCACCACTCAGCGGCAGGGCGTACGTTTGGCTGCGAGCGGAGTCATGGGGTCACGGGCTGCGGGGGAGGAAGGGAGGAGCAGAGTGGGGAGCAGAGCTGGAACCTGCCTGGAAATTCATCGTCGTCTTTTCAAATGGGCCATGACTCAATTCATCACTGTTGCTTCATGCCTTTTATATATATATTAAAAAGATCTTTCTTGCTACGACAACAACAGCAACGCTCGTCTGTCCCTCAGGGCTACGATGCGAGCGATGCGATCGCTGGCAAAGACCGCCATTATGCGGCCATGATCTGGCTCTCTCCGCCGGTTCTCACCAGCCCAGCCACTGTCTCGCGCTAATGCTCTGCACGCGATTCAGCGACGTTAGCCAAAAAATCAAGGTTCAGGCCCGCTCGGCCGAAACGCGAACCCTGACGTGCGGTGTCACGGGGCTGCCACGGCGCCCCCGAGCGATGGGACGTCATCATAGCCGAAGCCGCCACCTCGAGCCACGTGGGCACGACTAGGGTTGCCACCTCTGAGATAAAAATAATTACCGGCATATATCATGAAAACAAGGAGAAGAATATCTCACAATATCAGAGGAGAGAACTGCCCAAAAATGATTTTCCTTGAGTGGTACGTATTTACACAACTGACAAAAACCAGGACATTTATCGTCCTGGGAAAACGTATGGACTTCCTAGGACGGCTGCCCCCCCAATACGTTCCTGGGGGAAAAAACGAGCACAGCCGACAAGCCCAGCGGCAACGCCCAAGGAGCATTTTCTGTCGCGGATTCTGATGGCTACGTCCGTCCGCCGCCCCCTGCCACGGTTGAACGTCTCCCGTCACAGACACTGCCCCCCCTGCCCGCCTTCCGCCGGGATCCATCGTGCGTCAACGTCGTTCTGCGCCGCTAAACGTGACTCGATTTTCCATTTTAAACCGAGGGGCCGGCGTCGAACGGCTCCGGAGAGCCACGCTGTTTAACCCCCGTCTCCGCTGGCCCTCTGCGCTCGGCGGCGGACGCCGGGAACATCACTCATCTCTCCGTGTCGACACCAGCGGTGCTCCCCCCCCCCCCCCCACACACACACCGGGGTCCCTGCCTCCAGCACGTCCTCTCTCCGTCATACCTAACCAACACGCCCGCCGCTCTACGTTGCATTCGGACCGTTTGGCAACGGTCGAAATTCCCTTCTTCGATCGCGGTGACACGGTCACCGCGAGCCGTCATTGACAGATTCTGGGCCAAAGCGGAATGGAGCCGTTGGCTCGAACTGCCGCTGAAAAAATACATGGAGCGGAGGACGACCCCAGAATGTCACCCCGCTGGGGGACGGACGCTCTCGCACGCACGTAGCGGCGGTATCACGAGGGCGGTCGTGTCAGGCGAAGGGTGATGGCGGTGGGGAGGGGGGGGGGCAGGAGCACCCCCAGGGAGCGACCGCAGACGCTTGGCCTTACCAGCACCCCCGCGTGACCTCACCTGGCCGCACGTCCCCCAACCTGAAGCACGCTGAAACCCGCGAGACGCGACTTAACGACACCGGGATTATATCGTTTCAACAATTTGCCCCGAGATGAGATCATCTCCCAAGGGACGGATGTGACAAAGTCTGGAGAACCACAATCGAATTATCTTCCTACTTGGTTCAAAGCAAATGTCTCTCGTGTTGATTTTGTCTCAGTCTCACAGCCAGGGGCTTAATTTCTCACTGAATAATTTTTTTTGGTTCGGGTTGCCAGAAGACCGGAGCGGCGGCACGTGACAAGAATCTGGAGCGCGGAGCGAGAAGTACGGTGGACCTGGTGTGCCGGGTGCGGAATTACATTCCTGGTCGCCGTCCCAGAGAGATCTATTTGGAAATTACGCCCTTCACGTAACACCATCTTCCCAGCGTTAAAGAGTGCAGTCCTCTCCTCTGTAACATCCGTCCGCTCTGTCAACTCCTCCTTCTCACCAGTTTCCCTCGATGGAATGATAAGCCATTAAAAAGCGTGCATGGCAATTAAGGACGACGCCACGAGCAGCTGCTCACCCCCCCCCCCACCGCTTCGCTTTCCACCCTTCGGGTGCGGCGGAGCGCCGATTGCGACCGCTCCTTTAAAAACACTCGAGCTGTTGACACGGTCAGTTGAACACGTAGCAGGCTTTCGCGACCAATATTATTCATAATCAACGTTTTTGGTCTATATAAGAACGGGAGACAGAGCAGAGCCTCACCATTCTGGCGAATTGCCCGATGATGCTGGATGCAATTACCAGCGAAACGTCGTACTACTCAAAAAATTGTAAATGTTGTGGTTTCACGCTTCAACACACCGGTGGGCTGAAGCAGTGAACTATTTGTCTTTTGTCAACGTGACACTTTTTTACCGATTGGCCATGTCGGGTGGTGGAGGGTTACGACACATTTATAAATAACGTGATCTAAACCCAAAAACGTTGATTATGTCGACACTGTGTTTGCCTCCACGTACGTACTTTGTATAGACAACAACAACAAAACAACAACAGGCAATGAAACAGTGTCACCACGGGCATGCACGACGATGGGACACAGTACGAAACGGCGGAAGCCAGATGTGGATGGATTCCAAATACACAAATGCGCAAGCGTGACACCACACACAGCGTACTTCCGTGTGTTTGCGAGGTTCGTGAATTTCCAAGCGCTTCTCTTTTCCCAAAAACCCTTATTCTCAGAGTGTCCGTACGGACCTCTCGCAGAGGGGCGCATCGCCCCGCGTGGAAGGGAACGGCCCGCAGAAGGAGATGTCACGGAACTATTTCTGAGATCCCTTCAAGTGACCTCTTCCAGCCTCACACCAGGGGGCGCTGCACTGCGTGCCACGTGACGTGCTGAAAGTCGAGCTGATATTTATACATTTCAAAATTGAAAATTTTGGCAAACTGATTTTTAAAAATACATTTAACAATTATTAAAATTTTCGTGTGTTTGAGGCCATTGGCTTAAGCCACAAACTCACTCCGCTCCGGAGAAATCCCGTGGCCGAATCTGAAATCCAAATTCACTCGTAACAGCAGTGACAGCTCAGCACTAGTAAAACCCCACTGGGCTACCAGGCCTCACTTGCGCCGGTGGATTATCTTCGATTCATCTGTAATGGGGGGGTGGGGGGTGGTCTTGCGAATGGCCGCAAAAGCGGGTCTTGGAGGAGATTCTGGCAAGGCGTGAAGCACGGGCAGGTAGGTGGGTGCAGGTGAGAGAGAGGTGTTGCAAGGAGAGAGTGAAGGGAACGAATCGAACCTGAAGGCTGTGCAGGGGCAGCAACTGCTGGGGCAAAGAGAGACATCGACAAATAAATCACATGTCCAGCAAGTTGCTGAAAAAGCTCCCCACCAGCACGCACGGAGAAGCGAAATGACAGGGCATCGTGCCGGAACAACGTGCGGTACCATCACGAGAACGCGTCGGAGGGCTTTACGGGGCTTGCATGGGGTGGCACAGTGGTGACAACTCGTGCCTCTACAGTCTACAACAACAAGAGCCTGGGTCGTTAGATTCCCGACTCACTGCGGCATTTCAGTGTGAATGTTCTCCCCCCCCCCCCCCCTGGTGTGTAATGCATTTCTTCCGAATTCTCAGATTTCCTCCAAGTGTCAAAATAAAAGTAAACCACGTACAATGTAACCGGTATTTTTCCCAAACATCCCTGTGCTCAGAATTTTGCCTGCAAATTTCTCAATTGCAATTGCCGCGGCAGCAGCGACATCGCCACCCTACTGCGAAATCTTTGCAGGATCCTCCCGAGCAAGAGTCTTGCATTGCAGTGGCGTGCTGCTACCGCTGCCGTTACCACCATTCAGCCGGGGTGGGAGGACTCGCCGACAAACATCGATGCTCAAACTCGCGACGCCCGCAAGCAAATCACGCGCGCAAGAGAACCATACCCTACGTCCGTTGACGCCGTCGGTATATGCCTGCGACAGCGGGTAACCAAAAACGCTGAACGCTACAACAGCTCGGAATCCGCAACCCCCGAATCGCGACGGCTCGCCGAATCTGTCGGCGGCCGGTGGGGCGGAGGGGGGGGGGCGAAAAAAAAAAGAGCATTTACGTCCTCGCTATTGGCATTAAAACGACGCGCGCCATCACTCCGCGTGAGCAACGGCCGTGACCTTCAGGCGTCGCTCCCTCCTCCCGCCGCCATCCAGGCGATGGGCGCTGGCGGTGGATTCTCGACGTCCGCACCGATTGCGGGCGTCCACGTTCTCAAAAGGGCAAAAAACGTGCCCCGCGCCGGGCCAGGCTTCGTCGCTGCCGCTTGTCTGTTGCGACCACGAGACGGAACGGGGAGCGCATTGGCGGTCGGCAGCGTCGTTATCGCTACGATTGGGAGCAAAGGACATCACCCCCCCCCCCCACCGCCTGCCACCTCCACTCTGGGGGGTATCGCGTGAAAGGTAACAGTGCGGCCCTGCAATTGCTCGCTCAAAGTCACTGCCGGTGGAGGGGGCCCTTCCGCTCGAGGCAGCTTCTCAAAGAGAGTTCCCCCCCTCCATAAAGGGGAAGGCGCAGGCTTCCCTCACTGCACGCGGTGGTCGGAATAGATGGTAGATGGTGGTGGTGGTGGTAGATGGTGGTGGTAGATGGTGGTAGTAGATGGTGGTGATGGATGGTGGTGGTGGATGGTGGTGGTGGATGGTGGTAGTGGATGGTGGTAGATGGTGGTGGTAGATGGTGGTGGTGGATGGTGGTGGTATATGGTGGTGGTAGGTGGTAGATGGTAGATGGTTGTGGTAGATGATGGTGGTAGATGGTTGTGGTAGATGGTGGTGGTAGATGGTTGTGGTCGATGGTGGTGGTAGATGGTTGTGGTAGATGGTGGTGGTAGACGGTTGTGGTAAATTGTGGTGGTAGATGGATTTAAGAAACTTGCTCCACACCAGGAGATTGACTCGAACCAGTGACCTCTGCAATGCAAGTCCACTGTGCTGACCCGTCACACCACGAAACCCCATGGCATAGCGGATCAATATTGTCCTCTGGCGCATACCGAGCTAGCGCGGCGTGCGCTTAAATGCCGCGTGGGTCCCAGCCTCCCGCAAACAGCTGCACTCGCGAGTGATGTGCAGCGAACGTGCGTACAATAGGGTACAGATTGAGTTCGTACAGCGTCTACTCAGCCACCGCACAGCAAGGCGCGGTACAAAAACAGCGGCCATGTTTATTTTACAGAGAGGCTATCAGTCATAAACTAAAAACTATTTTTTTTAAACAACTATAAACTATTTTACCGGGTAATCCCCACTGAGCTCATCGCTATTTATCAGACGCGACATGGCCGCATTTGATAGCTCAACGAAGTGGCTTACCGCGTGGAAATTTATAGCGGCCAAATAGGAACAGAATGACGGTCTTTAGCCTGGGTCTGAACACGGACAAGGGAGTCAATCACGTGGAGGGCTGGGGAAATGGAGTTCTAGACTATGGGCAGAGCAGAATAGATGGATCGACCCCCCACTGAGAGCAATTTCAGCGTATTTCATGACACTACAGAGAAATTCATGGCATGAAAGTGTGTTTTTTGTGCCAAGGTTCATGTTTGTGAGCATGTGCGTGTCATGTGTGTGTCATGTTCGTGTCAATCACCCGAGTCAGTGAACCTATAACAACTTGGGTCTGTCCTGTGACCTCCCAATTAGGTGTGGGCCACATCATGTGGCCTCGAAGCACACCTAGCCTGCCACAAGTTCTGTGGTGGCATCGTTGCAACTTGACACCGAGTTACCATGAGCCCACGTGACCTGAGTTTGAACCCCAGCTGCATGTCCTGGCAGCGCGTTTGCAAATATTTTTCAACACGAGTTGGCCACGAAGTCGTGTGTGTGAGTGCGTGCATGCGCGTGTGTGGGTGTGAGCATGTGTATTGGTGTGGGGAGCAGTGGTGGAGCGCTTAGCGCACCGCGCTACGAACCCAGCGACTATCTGAACCCATCCTGGGCCTCCCCTAGCTCGACTCTGTCTCAAATGAGTACCTGGTGCGATCTGCAAACTTCGCCACTGGGGAAACAAAGGCGACCGGGCGTGGTGCTTGCCATCCGTCCCCTCCGTGCGCCGTGCCGACCTTCCTTAATGCTACTCGCTAACAGCGCTTGCCCCAGCAGTCTGTTGTGGTGCGAGTGCGGTGCGTTCCAGCATCGCACCTCTCGGGGGCTCGAGGGAGAGCTGAGGCTGCGCGGGCGCCGCACTTGCACCTGCACCTCCGCCTCCCCGTTGGCCGGCGCCACCGCCCCGGCCACCGGCACCCCGTCGTCCACCAGCTGCAGGGGGCAAAGGTCGCAGGTCAACGAGGTCTCTCCTCCACAGCCATCGCGGCGCCACGGTCCGCGTGGCAGGATGTTAACTACCTCGCCTGGTATGCAGGAGGGCCGTGGGTTCGATCCAGACCGATGACGCCTGCTGCTGTATATTTGGAGTTTGCGTGTCTCTCTCTCTCTCCCCGTGGTCGCGTGGATTTTTCTCCGGGTCCTCCGGTTTTTCTCTCCACAGTTAGAGTTAACACGCGTTTAGAGTATTCGGCTGCAATACATTTCCACGTGATAAGCCACTTCGTTGAACTTCCATTTGTGATAGCCAGGTCGCTTCTGAAAAGGAGCTGTATAGCTCAGTGGGCCTTACCTGGTAGGACAAACATTAGTTTTATAGTTTTTACAGTTTATTTTTTTACAACCAGCACTAGTCACGCATTTGCGTGGGATCCACATCCGGGGTGGGGGTATGGGGGGGTAGGTGACATCAGTGCGACGCACAAACCCAGCTCAACATTTCGTCCCTGTTGAACAAGGTCGAACTCATGGCACAACGCATGGCCAATTCCAAGTGTGTGTCTCCGTCTCAGGCTTAGACTGGCCACTTCACGTCAGGCACACAGTGTGGGTCAGTGAGTGAGTGAGTGGGTGAGTGATCGAGTCAGCCAGCGAGTGACTGAATGAGTGGCGCAGCGGCAATAAAGCGACGTGCGGTGCGCTGGGTGGCGGTGGCGGTGGAGGGGACGCAGCGGGGCAAGTCGGGGGGGGGGGCGGTGGAGGGGGGGGGTGACGGCCGACCTGCATGACGGGGCGTGTCCACGTGGTGGTGCGGTTGTTGTGGTTGACAAAGTACGTGCGGCCCTTGTCGTCCTTGCGTTCCTCCCACCCGGGGGGCATGCCCGGCGTGGTGAAGAGCTGGGGAACCAACTGCACGCACGCACAAAGACAAAGATCCCCCAAATAGTCTTTAACGGACTGTTGTGGCAAGTACTGTAAGCGAGGAACTATGAAAGCCGCCACGGTACACGAATAGGGTGGGCGGCCAGGTGCCACGCCCGGCCGCCTTTGTCTCCCTAGTGGCGACGTTTACACACCACACGAGGTACTCGTTTGAGGTCGAGACGACCTAGGGGACGCACAGATAAATCGTCACTGGTGTTGGCCGTGAGCGGGAATCTAACTAGGGTCACCGGATTCGTAGCGCAGGGTGCTAACCGCTACGGTTGAGCAGACGCAGGGCAAAACAGGACAACCAACACCTGCCGAGCGCCTGCCGCGGCCACACCATGAACGGGGCGCCGAACCTTTTGCCAAATTTTGCCGAAACGCAACATTTTGGGGGGGGGGGGGGGGGGGGGGGAGAGGTGGAAAATCTCGACGCATTTGACCGGCGTCGGTTTTAACTAAGCTCTCCTCCTTTGACCAACAGCTGCCAGACGCTGCCCGTCGGCGGACGCACAGGATGCAGCGGCGCTCCGGCCGCACGTGGCCCAGCGATCGTGCACGATCTCTCCCCCCCCCCCCCCACACTGGTTACCGATCACCACCACCACCCCCCTATTGGGTGAGCCGGTGCCGGAGGGGCGAAGCGCGGTGGGCACAGCCGGGTTGGGCCGGGGTAGGCTGTCGGGCCGGGCGGCTATAAGAATGTAAGTTCACGAACCACTTAACATTGACTGGAGTCAGCCGCCTGTTTTGTTGCTATTCATAGCCGAGGCTTCGAGCCCGAGCCCTTGTGGGAAGCCACCGCCCACGCCGCCGAGGTGGGGGTTCCTCTCGGCGACGGCGGCCGTGGCGGTGACGGTGCTGGCGGCGGCGGTGGCGCCGGCGGTGGTGACGGTGGCGCTGATGATGACGACGATGAAAGCGGTGGTGGCGGTGCAGGGTTAAAGAGTCCCGGGAGGATTCTGCACGAGGTTTATACCCATCCACGTTTGAAACGACGGGCAAATCTCTTGCAATATCTCCCGCCCCCCCTCTCCCCGCCTCTGTCCACCCAGAATTCCAAATGCGACCGCATGAATGGCGTTAATTTGTTCAAAGCGAGATTTTAGCGACGAAAATTGTTCGCCGACAAAGTGTCGTTGGACGCTTTAAGTCGGAGTCGGGGTTGCGAGTGGACGGAAGGTCAGCAGGCGCGACGATGAGCATGACTGCCGCCCCCCCCCCCCCCCCCCCGGCTCACGATGGCTTCACTAGGTCCCCCCTCTCACCGACTGGGACTCGCCCGAAGCCTCGAAAGTTGCCGTCGACTCGACTCCGACTGAAATGCAAACTGCCTACTGAATCACCACTATAATAGAGGTTTTTTTGGGTCAGATCGCATAAATATATAAATGTGTCGTTAAACCCGCCACCACCCGACACAGCCAATTAGTAAGGTTTGTCACGTAAACAGAAGGTGCCAATTCGTTACTAGTACAGCAACACCGGTGTGTTGGAGAGCAACACTAATTTTGTTGAGCCAGATGATTGTAACAGGAGTAGCGGAGTGTATCGCTGTGATGACGCGTGCTTCATAATGATCCATGTATGAGCCTAAGAGTCTCTATGTGAGTCTACGGGTCTCAGTGCGAATCTATAGATCTCAGTCTTATCCTTCTCCGTGTGGCTGATGTTGACGTTAAGCAACGGCCCTCATTTGACATCGAGGTGGCTGGTAGAGCCAAACAATAGCGTCAGGAGTAGCGGAGCGCGCAGCCGTCGCGACGCGGCCCTTCGCATTTGCGCGCCGGCTGACGGCACAAGAGGCCGCGGGGTCACAGGCAGAGGTCGCAAACGGGTTTTGATTCCTTACCCGTACCCATACCCGGCCGCACCAGGGTCGCAAATGGGTACCCGGCCGGGTACGGGTAGCCGTTCCCTACCCGTACCCGTACCCTACCCGAAATGAGTGACAAACGGTGACTCACCAGTGACTCACGGCCTACCCGTACCCGGCCGCACCAGCGTCGCAAACGGCTACCCGTACCCGGCCGGGTACGGGTAGCCGGGTATCGGGTAGGGTACGGGTATCGGGTACCCGGTTGCGACCTCTGGTCACAGGGGACAAACTGCCCAAAAGTGTCGTCGGGAGGTCGTGAGGTCGCACGGCGGCGAGGGTGTGCGTCGGGCCCGAACTGCCGAGCGGCACCCGTCTAGGGGTTTTGACCTGCCACCGCGAGGTGCCTCCCGACCGGCGAACAACCGCAATGGCACGGCTGGAATACGCTCGTGACGGCCCGATCAACCCGTGGGGTGGAAATTAGTTCATGGAAAGAAAATAAACTGGGGTGGGTGGGGGCTGTGGGGGGGGGGGCGCGCTCCAACAGAGACGCAGGCCAACGAGTGCCGCCCCCGTCGGGCAACGGGCGAAGCAAGGAACGCCCACGGGGGGTTTTGAGCGTTTCACGGCTTCCACGCCATCCACTACCCCCTTCCTCCGTGCCCCCCTCTCTCTCTCTCTCTCGCACGACAAGTAAGCAGACAGTTCGCCTCTTCTTCCAAATGCTGTACCTTCCATCGTTTTTTTATAATTCTGTTTATGTGTCCTGTTCTGTTGTGATGTGTGCAATGTCATGGTGATTGTTATGGTTACTGGTGTTACTTGAAAAATTGTTGTTTGCACACGGACGCTATTTTATCAAAGGCGTTGCTATTCCTCGTTTTGCAGTATTTTATCTAATCTTACTCCTCACTCTAGAGGCACTATTTTGCAATATGTTTCTCTAATCTTAATGTTCACTTTAGTTTAATATATAATTAAGTAATATATTACATATTTTTTATTTGTTCACTTTTTTCATTGCTATATTTATTGTATTTATGAAAAACAATTGCGACCTGTTGAAAACGTTTTTATTTATATTTTGTTGATGAAACCCGATTCAAGAGCTTCTTATCTTACAGGGCAATTCTAAATAAACTGTTCAAACTGTTCCATGTAAAAAAAAACAATAAAAATTTTAGGAGGGGTATTGTCTGCTTATTTATTATTTTACTTATTTTCTCTCTTTTGGGTTTGTTTTAATTTCTGTCGCTGCTGTTATCGTTATTAGTATGATTACGACAACGTTTATTTATCCGGGAAAGTTAAAATGTTTAAGTTTGGCCAAATTTGTAGCGTGACACCAGCATACAATGGCCGACTCTTCTTCGAATGACGTCACGGGATCTCTTGCGTTCACCGCGATGGTGACAGTGTGACAGTTCAACTGTTGGAAAACCTGCAGCGTTAACCAGGGCAGCCTGCCGGATTCAAACCGCGAACCTGAGCACTATTGGAACCAGTGCAGATTTAATTGAGTCCGTGGAGGGGGGGGGGGGGCCCTGAACACACGAGCCCCCCAGAATCTCAGATGCCCCCCCAACCCACCCATTTAGTGGCAGCCCCACAGGGTGGCTCCCAGGGGCACTCAATGTCCGATTCAAGAGGGCATCGGTGTCCAGTGCTGTTGATGTCACCACAACTTGCCATCGCTGCCTTCCTTCGGCCACATCCCTCAGTGGACGCGTCCCTCAAGGATACAATCTGACAGGATCCCCTCCCGTCTGGCTTTGAGGCTCCACTATGGCTAGGAGATGTTAACTACCTCGCCGGGTATACAGGAGGTCGTGGGTTCCTGGCCTCACTATGGCTAGGAGATGTTAACTACCTCGCCGGGTATACAGGAGGTCGTGGGTTCCATCCCGACCCTGACGCCTGCTGCTGTATATTTGGAGTTTGCGTGTTTCTCTCTCTCTCATCATCATCACTGTGGCTAGGAGATGTTAACTACCTCGCCTGGTATACAGGAGGTCGTGGGTTCCATCCCGACCCTGACGCCTGCTGTATATTTGGAGTCTGCGTGTCTCTCTCTCATCATCACCACCACAGTGGCTAGGAGATGTTAACTACCTCGCCTGGTATACAGGAGGTCGTGGGTTCCATCCCGACCCTGACACCTGCTGCTGTATATTTGGAGTTTGCATGTTCTCCCCGTGGTCGCGTGGATTTGTTCTCCGGGTCCTCCGGTTTTTCCCTGCACATTTTAGAACCAACGCGTGTTTAGAGTATTTATCTGCTATAAATCTCGCACATGATAAGCCACTTTGTTGAGCCATCATTTGCGGCCAGGTCGCCTCTGATAAAAAGCTCTATAGCTCACTGGGCCTTACCTGGTATAAGAAAAAAAAATGATTTAATAGAACTGAACTGGTAACCTCTGGATTGCAAGTTGGGTAACTAATAGCCATAGCGAGTTATATACTGAATGTGGCATGCCATTCCAATGCCTGTCCTGGTGACCTGCCCTCCTCCCCCTCCACTTTGAGGCTGTGGATATGGGTGCCACCAACCACCCCCTCGCCCCACTCCACACATTTGACGGTGCCCCCTCTCAGCACACCGCCTATCCACTGGGCTCTCGAATCGCCGCCGGATTGGGGCACAGCGCCAATGTTAAGAAACCGCACGAAAATGAGCCCTCACTTTTTTGTTGTTGTTCTTGGTTCTTTCGGTAAAATCGCATAGAAGGGAAATAATAAAATAATAAAAATAACACATAATAAAACATTTTTTGTTTTATTGTTTTATTTTTTATTATTTTAATATTTCCCTTCAACGTGACTTTACCGAAAGAACCAAGAAGATGAATCCCTGAAGTCACGAAAGCTTTAAATCGAATTTATTGTTGTTATTCAGTATTCTATTTTACTCGCACAGTCCCTTGACGTGGAACACCTGCAACGGTGTCCAAGGTGTAGAGCGCTAAGCCCTAAACCGTCGAGCTCCGTGGCTACAGGACCCCACCTCCTCCCTGGCCGCTAGCTCAGACAGCCGCTACGTCCAGACGGCAGCATGTCTGCCCGACCAGACAAGAGTCCATTGGCCGCACAGCAGGAAGGCAACATGAGAAACCCCCCCCCCCACCCCGTCACCTCCCACCGCTGCAGCAATAGAACACTCCAATTCAAACATCACGTGCACCTCTGCAGTTGTTCCCCCCCCCCCCCCCCTTTCTGCGCCCAGTGTTTGGCTTGGCCGGATTAATGCAGGAGTCCTGCGGGGCAGCGACGCTAAAGTGGCACTGCGATGAAAATCCCTAAGAGTGTCATTTGGTCATTACAGCCAGAGCACGTCTGTGTGTGCTTTACCGCCGGTCATGTGCCGAGACGAACCGTAGTTTTTTAATGTTTGCTTTAGCTTCGCTATTTGTGTGTCATCACATTTAAAAAACAAAAAACCCAGAAGTGAACAAACCCAGGGGGGAATAACAGTGGAGCGCCATCGGGCATGGGTGGTGGTGAAACAGCCCAGGGAAGGATTTGAATATGAAACCTAAAAACTCGTTTTATTTTACGAGGCAAGGCCCACTGCCGTCTGCGTCTCATCTCCGTTTCGGCAAGCACTGTGGTTTCATAACCACATTCACTCACTGCTGTGACATTTCACAGTTCAAGCTCACGTCCCAAAAGAAAGGATTTGGTTAATTTCTATATATATTTGTTTTATTTTACCAGGTAAGGCTCACCGAGCGACGTAGCTCTCTTTCAGAAGCGGCGAAGTGGTTTGTTACGTGCAAATTTATAGCAGCCAAATTCTCTAAACATCCAAAGAGGGGGGGGGGGGGCCAGGGGGGCCCTCCCCAAAACAGTAACAGCCCCGGGCCCCCTAAAGCTTAATCTGACCCTGGGTGGGCGGTGAGGGAAGGGCGAGTGTGGGTGAGTGCGGGGCGGGGGCAGCAGCAGCAGCAGCAGCAGCAGCGTGTGTGCGTGCCAGCTCGCTCACCAGCGTGTTGTTCTGCTGCGGCTCAGAGAGGGTGACGCTCGCTGATCGCGCCCTCCTGGAAGCCAGCACCTGCGGGGAACAACGACCCGAGTTGAAACCACCCGCAGCCCAGCCCAGCACAGCCCAGCCCAGCACAGCCCAGCCCAGCGCAGCGCCCGCCGTGAAGCTACGGCAGCGTTCTGCATTGCAAGGCCCTCGGGCTGCTGGTTGGGCCCTGGGGGGTTTTAGTGCGGCGCCTGACGTGCGGCCCCCCGATAACACACCCCGGGTGGTGTGACAGCACTACCCCCCCCCCCCCCCGCGTCATCAAGCTGTCACAAACCCAACAACGGTTTCTAATGTGTGGCGGCCCTCGCACTGATGAGGTCTTATCGGCGAAAGTGCCCCCCACCCCCACACCCCCCCCCCTGAAAATGCGTGAAGAACACTGAGCTACGGTGTGACGTCATGACGGTGCTTGCGCCAGGCTAGGTGCGCTTTGAGGTGATGAGACGCGTCGAAGGTTTGCAGGCAGGAGGTCAGGGGACAGACCCTGATGTCATGAGTTAACTGAATGAGATGAGTGGCATATGCACCACTTGTGACATGCCGAGTGGCGATGTTAACACACCGCACCAGGTACTCATTTGAGGCTGAGTCGCCCTAGGGGAGGCACAAGACCACTTGAGATAATCGTACTGCTGTTGACCGTGAGCAGGAATCGAACCGGGGTCGCCGGGTTAATAGCGCAGTGGCACGAACCACTGCAGTAGCGCTCCCCACAATGCAAAGACACACAACACATACGAGCAGCCCACCGGTAGCTCCATGTCACTCGCCACCGCCCCCCCCCCCCCCCCCCCAACGAGCGATTCGATCGACTGTCATGATTCGAGGCAGCGATCCGTCGTGCGTCTCATCCTATCGGCCGTCACCCTTCCCGCCGGTCGTAAAGTAAGGCGACGAGACCGGCAGCTTTGAAGACCGACACGGTGAAATTTCTAACCGCCAACACGAATCCGCAAGGTCGCGTAAGGGTAGCGACCTCGCGCTACGCTCACGCCGTGGAGCGGGCAGCCACGCGCCTGCATCGGTGAGTCGCGGTCGGAGCGCGCGCGGCACGTAGGTTCGGAGAGACGGGCGGCCTCACCGTGGCGGGCGTCGTCCGCTCGGCGGGGGACTGCGGCCTCAAGCCGGCCTCGTCGGACGAGACCAGACGAGCGCCGTCGGTGGTGGTGGTGGTGGTGGGAGACGGCGGCGGAGGCAGCGGGGAGCGCGGGGAGCGGTCCGACTCGGGCTCGATGATCTCCCACGTCAGCTGCACGCAGGAACGCGAGGACACACGCGCGCGCACGAACGCCCAATAAAAGAACCTCGGTGGAACTGAAGAGGCATCGTAAAAATGTCTAAAGTGAACGGGGTCAGGTCCGTCCGCACAACCGCCAGACAGATTTCACGTCGCTCGGGTGGCGTTTTTGGGTTGTACCGCGCGTCGCTCGGCACGACGCCGGACTTTTCGCTGCACGTGCCCCAAAAAATGCTCTCGAATCCCGAAGTAGCTCTCAGAACGTGGGGCGAAACGTCGGGCATCAAGCAACGAGCGGCGCGACCCGAAAGCGCATCAGAGAGCCGCACAGCAACAGCCATCGCGAAAAACCGTCACAAGGAGGGTTCTGTCGCTACCCACGGAGGTCTAGGGAGGGCTCGGGGTTTAATCTTTGCTTTTTCTGGACTCTTCCAGACTCGGCGCAAGGCACACACACACACCTGTAAAATATGGGGACAAACAACCCCAACGTCATCACAGAAATATAGCGCAGGTGCGCAAAGCCACGAGTTTCAAATAACAATGGGAAACGTGTAAAAAAGCCCTCTCAGAAGTTGTGCATTGTGCAAAAACCGTCAGCAGTTCCTGAAATAGTGCGTTGCAGCGGTGAGCATTTGGTGACTATACTGCAACTGATAAGGAAGAAATCTGTCTCCGTTTTTCTATCTCTGCACCACTGATGCTGCCAGTCGGTCACATTTACTGCCAGTCGGTCACCTCCAGGCAAGAGGGCCACAATGCACTTCTTCAAGAAATGCTGAGGGGTGGTGGGTAGTTGTAAAAAAAATTGCAATGCCATGATTGCTTGCGCAAGCCGCGATGATCTCCGCCCCGAGTCCTCTCTCCCTGTGCTCTGTAATGCACCGGCATTGAACATGCCGGCCACTGTGTTGTGACGCGTTGTATAAATCCGTATCCTGTGTTGACCACCCCGCTCGTCTTGTATATTGCTGTGTTTGTACCGGCAACAGCAAGTGAAGAAAATCTAACTGAGTAATAAAACTTGGCGCGATTGAAGATGCCTCAGCTGCCAAATAGTCAAGACTCATTCCACCCTTCATCCTTGTGTTCTTGTGAGGTTTATTAAAATATTTGCATTTATATGACCGGTAACTGCTTTCAACGGAAAGGTAAAACAACGGTATGTCGAGCGTGTAAAACGCCCGGCAATAAACACAACAGCTTCGCCCTCATAACCGAGCAACGACGAAGGGCGCTGCCGTGGTCATAACGGTTAGCAGCACGCCGGAACAGAAGACGGCGTTTCGATTCCACCTCCCGGCGCGGCAGTGAAAACCAACGGCGCCAGTTTCTTCATCGCCTCCGTCCGCCCAGCGGCAAATAAGCGGGTTCGCCGCGGTAAGCCGGTCGGCAGGCCGCGGTGTGGCGGGGTCAAAGTGCGGGTGACTCCCACGTCTTCCGACGCAGTGGCGTGAGCAGGCATTTCGCACGGCGGCGGCACCGGCGCATTTAAATTTCACCGCAGGATATTTGCCCTCAAGAATCGCTTTACCGGTTCTGGGACCTTCGGAAGCGGTGGTTAATTCCGAAAACGGTCACCACCGGTTAGCGTTCAACAAAGCCCAGTTCTTGTGAACCTCAAAAGCTGACCCGCCAGAGGTCGCAACCGGGTACCCGATACCCGATACCCGTACCCGGCCGGGTACGGGTACGGGTACCCATTTGCGACCCTGGTGCGGCCGGGTACGGGTACGGGTAGGCCGTGAGTCACTGGTTGAGAAACTGTTTGTCACTCATTTCCCAACGTCTTGTCTCTTCTCACAATTCAAGTTCCTAGAATCAACCCACCCGCGCCTGCAACATGGCTTCATCCCAGAGGTCGCAATCAGGTACCCGATACCCGTATGGGTACGGCCGGGTACGGGTACCCGTTTGCGAGCCTGGTGCGGCCAGGTACGGGTACGGGTACGGAATCAAAATCCGTTTGCGACCTCTGTGACCCGCCACGCTCAACTGTCGTGCCGTTTGTCACTGTGCCAGCAAAACCAGGGTGTAAACACACGGGTCTCCCTCGCTGCACGCGGTAGATGCGCTCCAAGAAAGCGAAACCGCACGAGACAGCTGCCTGCCGAGTAGCGCACGCAGTATGGCACGAGATGTTTCGCGCGTCCCACCGCGTAGCCACAGCCGACTGACTTCAAAAGCCGCGCAATTATCATAGTGAATTTTAGGTTGACATATGATGGCCCCATATATATATATATACACAGTGCGAATTCGCACAAACCCAAACCCGCATAAAGCGAGGGAAACCGGTATATGAACCTTATGGCAGTACCCCGGGGTAACCATAGTAGTACCCCGGCTCTCGCACAATGTCCGTGATGCGGTCATTTTTAGTCTGTTGATGGTCGGCGATGCGGCAATCGACTCATCTCGACGAGCTGGACACGATGCACCACTACGGTGCATTACGAGCATTCAGGGTTTCAGCGCAATCGTCCTCGCTGCGTTTCGACATCGCGGAGTGTGGCACTGATTTCGGATTGATTGGTACCCCAGTCGCGGAGTTAAGTACACCCCTGGAAAAAATAGTGAAATAACATATTTAATTGCCTCCGCTATTTTGTATTATTTGGTACCCCCGGGTACCACCATAAGGACACAATATCATGAAACTAGGATGAATTGAAGATGTTCTCTTGGCTGCAAATATTCATACTCATCCTTCCCTGCATCCTCCTCACATTGTGAACTCATTGTCGTCCTGCCTCCTCTGACCTCCCTGTCTGCCTAACCTCGCGACCCCGTGACCCCGTGACCCCAATGACCCCGTGAACCCAGTGACCTCGTGACCCCGTGGCCGGTCAAACCGCCCTTATCCGTGTACGCGGGAAGCGACGTACGTCGGCGGAGTCGCGCACGTCGCCAGAGTCCGAGTCCTCGGTGATCTGTCTCCGCGAGCAGAACACGGTCTGCGCCTGCTGGTCGCTGCGCTCCTCCGTCGCCTGCACGTCCTCCACGGGGTCCCTGCGCCAACACACGGACGGGTGACACCACCGTTAACAGCGCCATCGTCGTCGCCTGCAACGGCGCCTCCTCCATGGCCGCCCCCACCGGGCCTTAGCCACGATCGCGGCGTTGAGGGCGTCCATGAGCCCGGAGTAGAAACCGCGACTACCGATGGTCGCAAAACTTTATTCATACGGCGAACGAGAGCGAACTATTTAATTGCCCCACTCATCTCACACGGGTTACCCCGTAATCCGGTGCTGTTGGCCACATGAACACATTTGTGAACCGCCGAAATTTTGTACGTATGTATGTTCAGCTTCTCTCGCACCGTAGTTAGCCAACCGTGCTAATCGGGTGACAGTCCATGACCCCGTGACCCCGTGTGTGGTTCCCCGACAAGTGAAACATCTGCCCTGGTCTCATGGGACTAGGGTTGGTGAACTCCCCACACCCGTGGGCGACGGTCAGGAGAGGGCTAGGGGTGCCTACTCCCATACCCCCCTACCCCCCTACTCCCCCACGCTTCCCCATCCTCTAAACCGGCGGTTCTTAACCTGGGGTACACGCACCAGCTGGGGGTGCGAGATGCCCTTTCTGGGGGTGCGAGACGTGGCCAGATTTGTTTAGAAGGTAAATCATCGAAGGACAAATTAAGCACGGGGCACGTAAGTACAACTTCATTGTTTCATCAAACCGATGTATTTGTTAACGATTGGGAACCAAAGGGGTGCAAGGCTGCAGTAAAGGTCAAGAATCACTGCTCTAAACTAAAGCTAAACCTTTTTTCTTACCAGGTAAGGCCCATTGAGCTATATAGCTTTTTTAAATAATCGACCTTGCCACAAATGATAGCTCAACGAAGTGGCTTATCACGTGGAAATGTATAGCAGAAGCCAAATACTCTGAAGGCGTGTTGACTCTGAATGTGGAGGGAGAAATCGACCACGGGGGGGGGCGGCAAGGGGGATGTTTGTCTTTGTGGGTCTTCTGTATACCAGGCGAGGTAGTGGAAATGTATTGCAGTCGACTACTCTAAACTCGTGATGTTGATTCTAAAAACCGGAGGACCCGGAGAAAAATCCACGCGATCACGGGCAGAGAAAACACTCAAACTCCAAATACACAGGCGTCAGGGTCGGGTTCGAACCCATTGAGCCAGAGGGCCGCCGTCCACGCGGACGTCCGAAGAAGCGATGGATGGATCGAATAAAGGAAGACATGAAGACGGTCAACGCATCCCCTGAAGATGCCCTGGACCGAGCAAAATGGAGAAGACAATGCCGAAAAGCGGACCCTGCGCCACAGCGGGAACAACGCTAGGAAGAAAAAGAAGAAGGGTCGGGTTCGAACCCACGACCTCCTGTACACGAGGCGAGGTAGTCAACATCTCCTAGCCACCCTCTCCTAACCAGTGCGGGAGGCAGAGGCGAGGGGGTAAAGGGGGGGGGGGGGGTAGACTCACAAGACGGTGGGCCGGTGCCACTGGGTGCTGCGGTTCTTGTGGTTCACGTAGTAGGTGCGGCCCAGGTTGTCCTGCCTCTCCTCCCAGTCGGGCGGCAGGGCTGGCTGCTGCTGCTGCTGACTCGGCCGCTGGCTCACGCCGCCCTCCATCGAATCCACCACCTCCCAGCCGGGCTGTGTGGGGGGGGCGGGGGGGTCGCGTCGACGGATTACGAGACGCGGGTCACGGGGTTGCGGAGCGTCACACGGGCAGTGGTGATTGAGTTTCACACGTAGTAGTAGCAGCAGGCTTTCGCGACCAATATCATTCATGATAGAGAGTTTTTTGTTGGGTCAGATCGCGTAAATATATTAATGTGTCGTTGAAACCCGCCACCACCCGAAACGTCGTACTTAGATGTAAAATGTTGTGGCTTGGCTCTCCAACACACCGGTTAGTGCTGTACTAGTACACTACACTATACACTACCTTATACACTACTAAACACTACACTATACACTACTACACTACACACTACTACACTATACACTACACTATACACTACACTACTATACACTACACACTACACTATACACTACACACTAGTGCTGTACTAGTGACGAATTGGCCATGTTCTGTTTACGTGACAACCCTTACTAGTCGGCTGTGTCGGGTGATGGCGGGTTTAACGACACACATATTTACGCGATCCAATCCAAAAAAAAAAACTCTTATAGTGGTTTGCATTTCAGTCGGAGTCGAGTCGACGGCAACTTGCGGGGCTTCGGGCGAGTCCCAGTCGGTGAGGGAGGGGACCTGTGAAGCCATCCTGAGCCGGGGGGGAAGGGGGGGCGGCAGTCGTGCTCATCGTCGCGCCTGCTGACCTTCCGTCCACTCGCAGCCCTGACTCTGACTTAAAGCGTCCAACGACGCTTTGTCGGCGAACAATTTTCGTCGCTAAAATCTCGCTTTGATCAAATTAACGCCCTTCATGCGGTCGCAGGGAATTCTGTCAAAACCGAGCGCGCCGGTGCTGTTAGGGTGCTGGCTTCTGGGTGCTGGTGATTAGGGTGCTGGGAGCGAGTGTTTGCTGGGAGCGAGTGTTTGCTGAGTGCGAGTGTTTGCTGGGTGCTGGGTGTGAGAGCCCACGTCTGAATCCTCGGTCTGGGTGGACGGTTCTTCGTTCATCCCGTTCTGCGGCAAGTACGCCATCTTGAGCCGCAGGAAGCCCTTCACCCGGGATTTGTGACTGCCACAGGAACAACATCATCATTGCCATGATTTACAATTAATGTACAGCACTTTGTCAAATCCACTGCTGCGTTAAGGTCTCTCTCCCCCAATCACCCTCCATGCTGTGTCGGTCACGGGGGTTGTTTGACCGGACCATACTTCACCACGCTGGTAAGTCCAGGTTGGTGAAGGTGGAACGAGTCCAGGTACCGGTCGCTGTGGCTGGGAACTGGACTCGGGCCGCCAGATGCATCGCAGAGTGCAAGAACTACCGCGCCACTATTCCACATGGCATTATCACTACTATTATCAATAATAACAATTTTATATGTTCATTAAAAATAATTTAAATAAAACTACTGCGCCACCATTCCTCCACGTGGCATTATTACTACTATTATCAATAACAATAATTGTATATCTTCGTTAGACTCGAATAGTTCATGGGTGTATTTGTGGCCTGGTCGCATTGGAAAAATAAGTTAATACCTCCAGTAGGCTTGCCTGGTATGATGGGGATGGTTTAGTTTTGTTTGTATGTGTTTGGGTGATTGTTTAACTTTCTTGTATTTTGCACTACTATCATGTTTTTATTTCACTGTTTGTTGTTGTGATGTTCTTACACACTGGACATCTGTGAAAAAGAGCTTCACAGATCATCGGATTCCTCCCGCAGTACAAATAAATATTCTGATTCTGCAATTGCCCTCCAGCCTATAACACCTGTTTATGCATCGTGGTGGCCAAACCAAGGACGTCCTTATCCTCCAAACTCAAACCCCGCTGAACTCCCTGGAACCTGACAAGATCGGACCACATTCGGGAGTGGGGGGGGGGAGCCGGTTTCAGCTCTGGCAACGAACGCTTATCTCGTGATCAATAAGAGCTCCAGGCTCACCGGGTAGGCAGTTGTTGTGAGAATGTATCACGTGGCGAATTGTTAACAAACGCAGAGCAGCAGGCATGCAGGTGGCACACACAAACAAGCAGCTGTGTGCACACACACACACACAGAAGACAGGTACAGACATATATAACAAAAGAGACAAAGATCTTCCCTCTCGCCTTTAACAGACTGTCGGGGCAAGTGCTGTTTGATAGCACTAATGAGGGCCAACACTGCAGACGAGGAAGTGGTGTGGCGAGAACCTGCCCACACGTGCTGATGCTTACACACCACACCGGCTACTCGTTTACGGCTGAATTGAATTCGGGGAGGCCCAGGATTTGTTCAGATACGGTAGTTGTCAGTGATGCTGGCCGCGAGCTGGAATCGAACTCGGGTCCCCCAGGTTTGTAATGTGGCCTTCGAACCACTAAGCTACAGCTCCCCACTAGGCTACCACATTGACACACGCATACGTCGGGTGGCTAACACAATAAAAAAAACCCTGCATCGCTGTGGAGAATGTCAGTCTAAAAAACGAATGAGCAGATAATACACCGTCACCAATCTGTCTCTCTGCACAAAATCAACAATTTTGTTTTACACATCTCATCAGCAAAACACGGCCTTCTGGCGATGAAAACATCTGGCGGTTGACCAGCATTGATTTGAGCAAGTCCGACTTTGCTGATGAGACACTGCCTATCGGAGCTGGTCCGGTCTGGTATGGGTCGCCGGGCTCGTAACAATGGCTGTGATATATTTCGATTTAAAGCTTTCGTGACTGCAGGGATTCATCTTCTTGGTTCTTTCAGTAAAGTCACGTAGAAGGGAAGAAATAAAATAATTAAAATAAAACATAGTAAAATAATTCTCACGACGTTTCGGCCACAACGCAAGCAGCCATCCTCAGGTGAAGACCAGGTCTGTCGGGGCACACTTCCCCCCTTCCAACCCAGATTAAATATACGCTCCAAGCCTGGGGTGTTTCATTCAGACGCTGTCTCCCCGACAGACCTGGTCTTCACCTGAGGACGGCTGCTTGCGTTGTGGCCGAAACGTCGTGAGAATTATTTTATTATGTTTTATTTTTATTATTTTATTACTTCCCTTCTACGTGACTTTACCGAAAGAACCAAGAAGAAAATGGCTGTGGTTGCAAGCGGCGCACCTTCTCGGCCGCAGAATGAAGTCCCTGAAGGTGTAGGGTCGCTCCCTGGACGGGTCTTCTGTCTGCAGGGAGAGGGCATTTAGAGGTTCGCGTTCAAGATGATAGCGCCAGGCCGACCGAGGGCACGTGCTAGCCCAGGGTCAGCAACCAGAAACATCAAGAAGAGACATTTTTTTTAATTCGATAAAAACTCAACATTTCAAGAGCCGCAATGCAAGTGGATACGAGAGGGTGGTCAATCCACTGATGCACGAAGGCCTCCCAAAAGCATCGCCGCCTTTCGCGGCCCTGAGATGCAACAATACATCTGGTGTAGGGCTCGGTAACCAAAATAACAAGAAGAGACCTTTTTTTTCGAATTCGGTAAAAACAAAACAAAAAACCTCAACATTTTCAAGGGCCACATTGCACTGTGTGGTGAATACGAGACGGTGGTGGTCCTTGATGAATAAGCGTCACGAAGCAGTCGCGCCTTAACGAGCGGCTCCAACCCCGTGCCAGCCTGAACCCAATCTCTTGAGGCCTACCAAGAGCACGTGCCAGGCTGACCAAACCTGTTGTGACCGTTCAAGTAAAAAAATTATTTAGAAAACTGTTGGCCAAGGAGGAGGAGGGGGTTTTCGCTGGTGTTTACGCTCCACTGCGTCAAGGCAGCGTGGACGCCGAGTGACATGTGGTCGTTTGGAGCTTGATTAAACGTGATTCGAAGTTCTTGCGTAAAGCCACACCCGTGTAGGCGAGTCTCATGCGGCCAGAGCAGACTTTGGTACCGCGAGAAAGTGCCACACATTTAGCCAGGCTATCTGTGTGTGTGTGTTCGCGACGAATAAACGTGGATTTTGCGCGAGCGTACATATCACATTGCGATTTAACAACCAAGTTTTTGTAGCCGCTTGTAATCCAAGCGTGCTTTTTCCAAGTTGGGCCCCACCTTGAGCACCACATCTCTTAAGACGGAGTGGACAAGGTCATTGCAGAGTCACTTTTATCAGAAATTTGAAAATGTTTGCTACAACTACATTTGTGCCCATCTCAGCTGGTACCAGCAAGAAAAAAAAATGTGGGTGTTGGCCCATAGACTAAGAGTGATGCCTTTCCTAGTTAATAATCTTCAGACTCAATGAGGGTTGCTCGGATAGATAAATCAATGGCATTACGAATCAATAAACATGCAGTGTTCATAAAAAAAACGAACGGTTTGTTACGAACACATGTATTCACGAACAAATGTATTGAAGGCCAAATGTGTTTAAGAATGTCGGTTACGTAAACCAGCAAGGTCCGGCTGACTGTCTCTGTCGAATGCTGGGTGTTGTGCAGTATCGACATCAAACCCTGGGGGCCCACACCTCATCCTCTCCACGTTAACCAGCCTACTCCATTCCAGCACTAATGAAGTGTTTACAGACAACACGCGTCTCGGGTTTTTTTTTCCGCTCAACAATAGCCCCCACTTGTGGGAGAGCATTGATGAAAAGATAAGACATCTTGTGCGCGAGTGTGTACACCCGTGTCCCGTGTGACGTTGCTAGAGATGCAATTTAAGATAGAAGTCGTATCTGTGGGCACGGCATGGCTGGGGAAGAGATGGGCTGATGTGGTACAGAACAAGAAGGATGTGGAGGGAATTGGACTTGTTGATGACCGGCAAAGCGGTGTCAAGATCGGCCCCTGTGGAGCAGGCGGCTCGTGAATGAAACTACTGGGCAGTCGGAGGCAGTCGCTCTCCGGCAAAAGCGGAGGGCTCACAAGGAGTAGGTGGCATAGTAGGGACCACAGGTGGAGTATCTGCCAGTAATCGCAGTCAATTAACCCGTGACACCCAGTATCCGCGACCTCCTGCCAGCGAACTTTCGATTCTAAAATTGGTGGCCATCAGAGGGCACCAAATCTTGCACAAGCGCCATGGTGATGTCACCGCCACTTTAGTGGCGAACTGGCGGCTGCTGTTGTTGTTGTTGTTTGCGGTGGTGTCATCAGATGTAAACATGCAGAGAGCTCATTCACACGAAGACTGAGATCTTGTGTGCACGTGTGTCAGGTGTGATCACTCGACACATCATCGGGCTCGTGCGGCTTGCAACCGCTTAAGTTGGAGATGCACGGAGGTAAAGTGGGAAACGTGGAAAGACGAAGTAGGGTGGTGGTGGTGGTGGTGGTTGTGGCGGTGGTGGTTGTGGCGGTGGTGGTGGTTGTGGTTGTGGTGGTTAATGTGGTGGATCAAGAGAACTGTAGTTTGAGAGACGGTCATCTACATTCAGTGACGAGGTGGAGTTTTAACCGAGCGACGAGGTTGAGATGTAACCGAGCGGTGAGGTTAAGGTTTAACCGAGCCACGAGGTGGAGGTTCAACCGCTGGAGCCAGCGATGAGGAGCGTCGTTGTCGATCGCCACTCGACGGGGCAAGACGAGGGAGGAAGGGGCAGCGGACTCACCGGCAATTGGCTGAGGGAGGTGTCCACTTGTCCCAGGAAATCATCTCGCGTCTAACGCACAACACAACGGCCACCACCGGCAGAGTCAATCTCACGATAAACACCAGCACCCGCCGTTCACCGCCGAGTGACGGTGACGTCGCCACGGCGCCTGTGCCAGGCCAGGTGGTCGCATGACACGGGAGAGGCGGTGGAACATTTCCAACATTTCAAATGTCCCCCACTGCAGCTGTCACTGTGGCAGCCCTGCTCACACGATGATAGAGGTACACACACACAGCACGGGGCTGCATTGCAGCGGAGTCTGCCTGACTGGGTCTGTGACCCTGAAAATATTTTCACACCCGGCACCCCACATCCAGTACAAATTGTGTATAACTCGCTATGGCTGTGGATATTAGTTACCCAACTTGCAATCCAGAAGTTCACCAGTTCAGTTCTATTCAACTATTTTTTTTTTTACCAAGTAAGGCCCACTGAGCTATACAGCTCTTTTCAGAAGCGACCTGGCCACAAATGACAGCTCAAGGAAGTGGTTTATCACGTGAAAATGTACAACAGCCAAATACTCCAAACGCACGTTTCTAAATGTGGAGGGGAAAACCGGAGGACCCGGAGAAAAATTCACGCGACCACGGGGAGAGAGAGACACGCAAACTCCAAATATACAACAGGCGTCAGGGTCGGGATCTAATCCACGACCTCCTGCATAGCAGGCGAGGTAGTCAACATCTCTCCACCGCGGCGACCATTCAAATCGATCTGCCCCCACCATCCGCCTCTATCCACGCAGCAGTATAAAAGAAAAGTACACCACAATCAGTCAATCGATCTGCAGGTCGCGTGTGTTGGGGTAAAGTGTGGGTACACCGACCCATTGTCTGGCGAGCGCGAAAGAGCAATCAAAGTCCCAGTCAACGTGCAACGTTGGGTCAACGTTGCACGTTGACTGGAATTCCCTCCAGCGGGGTTCTCTCTATAGGTGCCTCCAGTGGAGTTTTTCCTGTGAGCAGCGGCATGAGAAATCGCTCATAAGGCTGCAGTACCTCGACCCTCTTTAACACAACGCGATACATGGACCGACCCGGCACTCCGCCGGCGGTCAACGCTAGCGCAGACGTCAAAATCCCATCGGCCGAGGCGACCCCCCCCCGATGGGTCCCGACGCAACTAGAGCCCGAAGCAACGCTGTCGATCGGCCGCGTTCCGCCCGCCGTGTATCTCACCGTGACGCCAAACGCTCGGTACTTGACGCGCGGAAAGCTCATCGTGGTCCATCGGCTGCGCCGACAACGAGCGAGGAATCCCGACAAACGATTGAGAGCCGACGGTCGATTACGTTGTACGTGGGCGGGCGGGCGGGCTTGAGCTAGCGCCGACAGGGCCGTGTCCGGTCACGGCAGAGACGAACCGACTCGCGCCGGAGTCGGCCGCGACCGTCAACATCGGAGGCTGACGGCTCTCGCCAGAATATTTAACGCGAGGCTGCGTGACGCCCACGTGCATCCCGCAGAGGGCGTGGCGGGGATTAACGAGGCTTGCTGCTTGAAGCAACGATGCCAGTGAAGCTACGGGCTTGTCCCATGAGTCTGGAATCGTAGGGTCATGGGATAGGACGTCGAGGGCCTGTGGAATGGCCAGCGAGAAGCCACGATCTCACACCGCTGCGTTTTTTTTTTTATCTCTGGGGGTCAAACTTGAAGGCGCTGGTCAACAACGCAGAGTGTTGAACGTTTGCGGCAGCGCAATATTGGCGCACGTAACGCCGTTACCCCTGACACCATGTACCGTGTGCCTGCTGGCTGGGTATCTCGCCTGGAGTTGTGTATCAGGAACAATTGTGGACACATTGAGCACGTTCCGTGAATAAAAGCGTTATTATTGCCTTTTTGTCTTGTTATTTTTCCTATGATTCCAGACTTATGAGACACCTTGTGTATAGATAGGAAAGATAATATACCCCCCCATTCCTTCTCTCGCCTCCCTCTATGTGTCTTTGACTGCCTGCAACGTCAACTGCTGTGTTGTTTTTAAGGTCACATGCTGTTGTTGACGATTGTGTTGAGTTTACTTTTTTTGCGATACATGATTATGACCGATCAGCGTGCCATGAATTCGCATCACGAAGTTTTGCGTACAGTTTTGCTTCGAGCTGAAGGGGTATCGGTGAAATCTATAAATGTCAAGTAAAATGGCAAAACAGACAATATGTGGGCCATATTCTTGGTTCTTTCGGTAAAGTTACGTAGAAGGGAGATAATAAAATAATAAAAATATAAAACAATAAAAATTCTCACGACGTTTCGACTGCAACACCAGCAATCATCATCAGTCATCATCGTGGATTTCACACCTGATGATGATTGCTTGTGTTGCAGTCGAAATGTGATAATTTGTATTGTTTTATATTTATATTATTTTATTATCTCCCTTCTACGTGACTTTACCGAAAGAACCAAGAATATGAATCCCTGCAGTCACGAAAGCTTTAAATAAAAAATATGTGGGCCCTTTGAACGTCTGGGCAGTTGACCAGCATTGGACACTGCCAGGCTGACTGTGCTGATGAGACGTTAAAGGTTGAAATTAGTCCGAGAGTTTGCTTCTGCCGAACCAATGCTGATGAAATCGTGCAGTGCCAGGAGGGCGATGCGACCGATTGGACGTGCACGTGGGGAGACAAATATGTGAAGGGCGACAGAATTGTCCGCTGAGCTATATTAATAAGATAAAGGTCACAGAACCGGATTGTATCTGCTTCCACAAGTGGTTCTGGATAGTTCTGAAATTTGAGTCTCCCTTCCACCCACATGCAACACGAAGATCAGCCGTATAACCTATGCCAGGGGGTCGTGGCAACCCAAACAACAACGAGCCATTGTATTATTCTAATTCGTTGCAAATACGAAAACTCGATAACGTATTTCGCGAGACGCAATGCAACATGAATACGAGAGGAGGTAGTGGTCCTTGTTAATTACCGTCACGAAGCGGTAATTAAAGAGCCGCATGAAGCTTATCAACCCCTGCCCATGGTAAACTGGACTCCCATGGTAAACTGGACTTCATGGTAAACTGGACTTCCATGGTAAACTGGACCTCCATGGTAAACTGGACTTCCATGGTAAACTGGACTTCCATGATGAACTGGACTCCCATCGTGAACTGGACTTCCATGGTGAATCCTGCAGTCACGAAAGCTTCTCGCAGTACAGGGGGCGATGTTGCCACGTGCAATCCCCAGCTGAGTAATTTGCAGGGATAATTTTCCAGCAGTCGGGATGGTTTGGCAAACACAAGTTACATCGAACATGTTGCTGTTGTTGCTGCTATAATTAGGAAGCCGACGAATCAGGAAGAAGCCCCGTGCGAAACATTCGAAAAAAACATACAAACTCCGCACAGAAATGTTCCCCGAGTCGGGAATCGAACCCAGGACATTCTCGCTCAGTGGGGGGGGGTGGGGGGTGTGCCCGAGTGTTGCCACTGCGCTGCCCTGCCGCTCGTCACAGGTGCGCGCTGCACGTGGCCGAGGGTTGTCCCGCAGTAGCCGCCGTCACGCCCCGTCTGCTCGCAACGCCCGTGCCCGCGTCTGTCCTCCCTCCCCGCTCTCCCGCCCTGCCCAGGGCTGAGTGCACAGGAAACGAGTCGGCTATAAATTACGCGCCGTGCCTCGCGGGCGCCGAGGTGGCAAGACCGGCATCGCTGACCGTGAGCCAGGCACATTCCTGGCATGGACGGAACGGTTGCTGCTGCTGCCTGTTGCCGCTGCTACCACCTTCCCACCACCCATCCCCCATCACCATCTCCACCACTTTCCACCTCTCAGCAACAGCCCCCCCCTCCGCCACCTTCACATTCCACGGCAGCCCTGCCGCACTACCGGCCGGGTTGCCACCTCGGAGGTACAAAAACAAAACAAAACAAACCCGCGACGCATCGTGAGAAGGAGTACGTATCTCCACGACCACGCGTCGTCTTGAGTGAGTGGGTGCATTCTCACGCAGATGACAGCAACCGGGACTTTTCATGTCCCGGGAAGACGGATTTTCGAGCAGCTGCCTCAACATGCAGGCGATCCTGGGAAACCCAGGACAGGTGGCAACCCTGCATCTTAGCCTGGCGCTCCGATACCTGCCTAGAATCCTCACGGAGTTGAGCACCGCAGCGAACCGCTCGCGACCCAAACTTCCTGCGCCACCGCAGGATCGTAGCTGTTTGTCGTCGGAAATCGTTTAAGTCTTTCCAGGATATTCAAATACTCGGGTCTTTCTCAGTTGCGGAAGAATCCGCCACTGATCACGGTGACTTTGGTTGTCGGCCCTTTCCCCGTTTGTAATGAGATATTCTATCTTGCCGTCGAAATGTGTCCTGGTGGGTTTTTTTTGGTACCGCAGAGGTGGCAAACCCAGCCACATCTTCTGACCGTGGGTGCCAGTAGCTGTTGGCGGCCGAGGTGTTTGTAACGGGGCGCCTGTCCATAGCGTGGCACAGCGGGGGGCACATGCCCCTATCCCTCCTCGTTAGGACGGAAGCCACGGAATTTTGGGGGTTTACCGCAACTTAATATCATCGCCCGGGCTTGTGACACGCACACACGTGCCCCCCCCCCCCCCCCCCAAATAAATAAAACACGCTAGCAACTACAGCAACAGCAGCAACAGCAGCAGAACCCAAGAAACTTTACTGACGCCTCAGAGTGAACTTCTCACGCGCTCGGGCTAAAGTGTGGAAATCAGGCAACCCGCCCAGGCCGATTTTCAAAACATTAACCAGGGTTTTCACTCGGAGCTGCGTGTGTGTGCGCGCGTGCATGTGTGTGTGTGTGTGTTGGCCACCCAACGACTCGTGTGCCGTGCCGGCCTTCATAGGTGTATCTTTGTTTTTGTGAGTGTGGGGAGCGGTAGTGTAGCGGTTAGCGCGCTGCGCTACGAACTCAGCGACCCGAGTTCGACTCCAGCTCATGGCCACCAACAACAAGTGACGATTATTTGAACTGGTCTTGGGCCTCCCCTAGGTCAACTCTGCCTCAAATGAGTACCTGGTGCTGTGCGAAAACATCGCCACTAGGGAGACAAAGGCGGCCGGACGTGATGCTGGCCACTCACCCCCTCGTGCGTTCATAGGTGCTGCTCGCTAACAGCACTTGCCCCAACAGTCTGTTAAGGCTACACGGGCGATCTTTGTCTCTATCTTTTGTGTGTGTGTGTGTGCGCGCGAGGCTCTCGGACGAAGCAAGAGGCGCGCGCGGCCTTTTATGAATTTTTTCCAAGTCAATCTCCTACCGCCCTCCTCCTCCTCCTCCATCTGTAAATAGCCCCCCCTATTGTGCGCCCGGCGTGCTCCTCTGCGCGCTCGCCCTGTCACCGTCGGCTCGGCTCTCACCGCCAGCCACGGCGGTCACAACTCACGCCAGACTCCGTCACCACCATCCCCTCTCTCTTCACCGCCACACGCACGGGCTGCGCAGCTGCCCATGGGCACGGCGTGCCGGCGTGAGCACCACGAACCCGTTGCGATCCCCAGAGGGCGCCGGTGTTCGATTCCATCACCTTTGCGCGGCAGGTGAAAAACCGGGGCAAGTTTCTTCAATATTCCCCCAACCTCTGTCCGCCCGGCAGTGTGAATGGGTTAACCGCATTTGATCGATCTGCAGGCCACGTGTGGTTGGGTGGAGTGTAGGTAGTCCCCACCTATCCCATGATGTCTGGCCAGCGTTTAAGAGGAGGCCCAAGTGCCCTCTGGAGAGGATCTCTGCAGCTACGTCGAGTGGAGGCCTTCCCGCCAAGATGAGAATCAGACTCTTTATTTTATACCGGAGGAATCCGATGAGATGCAAAGCACTTTTTCACGGATGTCCAGTGAATAAAAGATTCTGATTACCTTGATCACCTCCCTATCATCAAGGTGCCCACCAACCCTCGGGCCTTGCCGGCACAACTTGGTATCCGAAAGCTTTCCTCCGTGGCAAGAGTTTTGGCGTAGCTATCCAGCGAGCGCCGCGTGTGGTGCAAACTGCACCACGGCCCACGGGCCCGGAGGGACTCAGGTCCTGGGCTACGGGGAGAAGAAATGTGGACAGTGGGTCCCATTCATTCCTTGCACCACCGTGCCAAGATGTGAATGAATAAGAGGGGGGGGGGGGACTTATGCCAACCACGCTATGCCACTGCGCCACGCACGGCCCGCCAATACTGCCTGCCCACGGTGACAAAACTCCCCTGTTCATGATGGCGTTGCAAACTCTCCCTCTCTTCTGGTTCTGCACTCAATCACCCATCCGCTCGCTCGCTCGCTCGCCCACCAACTCACCCATTAATCACTCATCCCGTCGCTCACCAAACTGCAGGTCACAACAACACACTCGCTCTACTGCTCGCTCGCTCTACCGCCCGTTAGCCACACCGCAGGTCAAAATACATCTCTTCCCGCTTCTTCTTCCCTCGCTCTGCTCCACTTAGGAATTGCCGCCTCTCCATCTCTCTTTCCCAAGCTCCTATGATAACCTCGCTCATTTCAAGAAACGTCTCACACCCCTCATCTATCACAACTTTCACGGTGCTGTTTATTGCTGGCCACCTTGGCATTCTGGGTCTTCCGACCTGTTCTCAATAACGTCGCCGGATCCTCGCCGACCCCTTCACCGGGTCACCGGTCCGCCCGGCCGGAACTTCGCGCCGTTTCACGAGCAGCCGTCGACATCGCGCCGTCGCAGAACCGACGACGTGACGAGCGCAAGGCATCGCCTCCACGGCCATTCCTCATCGCACCTCGCCCCGCGCTCCTCCGCCACGCTCGGGCGCCCCTCAGCACACATTCCCCGTGTCTCCTGTTTCAGCAGAGCTTCCCCAAACGGCAACTGCCCCTCTCCCTCCCCACCCCTCCCCGCCTCGACTGACCTCCTGACCCCGCCGCCCCGCCCCCCCGTCCCCTGCCCTGCCCCCCCGGTCCCCCCCCCCAAGCCCGGCTCTAAACGGAGCACTGGTCATTTAAGGTGGGGGGGGGGGACATGCGCTGGTAATCGAGAGCAGCGCCGCTAATTAAATAATGACCCGTGAACTAAAAGGGACACCAGTGATTAAAACAGCGCCGGCGGTAGGTGCCAGTAAATACATGGGCGCGCGTCGCTCTTTTAAAGGGGCACTGTGGTGGCCGAGGGATGCCGCGGATTGGGCGGGGAGCCCCACGCAACTTCGCGAGCTCGCAGTTGAAGGGGGGAGCGGCGTAATTAATAGAAAGCCAGCAAATAAAATTCGCCTTTTTCTCAGTTTAACAGCGCCACTCATCGAGGGTGCACCGACGATTCAAAAACGGGGGGGGGAGGGGGTGGGGGCCATCGGGTGTTAGTGGAGCAGCGGCGAGCAATGGAACCAGCCGTGAATTGCGTGCCGCCATTTGAAGGTGCTCCAGTAGCGGACCGCGTTACGGCGATTGTTGCTGTGCGCTTCTATGGCGAGCGGGGACATCGGCCAAAGGCCCGAAGAGGGGGAGCCGGCGGTCACTCGCCGCGGCCACGCCGATCGCTCGTCCACCGACCACGTTGTTTACGCGATGCGGCATCCACCTCGCTAACGCAGCGCGTTGATGTTCGCGCTCGAGGGAAAATATTTTTCAGATCGTCGTCGTCATCATCGTGGTGGTTGTGAACCACGTTTTTGCCTAAGATCAAATCGCCCTGAATGCGACGCTACGGCTGTCGGATCTGGCCCGCACTCAGAATCTAAGCAGGGTTTCAAGCTGGTTATCATTTGGATGGGTGATCACTGCAGCTCGCTCGGATTGCTGTAGGCGGGGGGCTCGCGAGCTAACCAGAAGATGCCAGCGCAAAAAGTGTTCCCACCTCGGTAACGAAACAAACGAATGGATGAATGCGTGAATCAACCTGTGCCGAGCCCTGAGCGGTTTTCTCCGGCGTCCCCGCTCTTGGGCAAACATCCCGAGAGTGGCAGGGCTCTCTTAAATAGGGAGCCTTCGGACTCGGCGAAGCTTTCCCGGAATAAACAGTCGGCAATATTAATAGTGGTTTGGAGATCTCCAACCGGAGCTTAAAAATAAACACCCCCTCGGTCAAAAGCCAGCCGCGTTGAGAGCGCATGCCGGCGTGGACGAGAGGGACAAAATCCGGTGCCAGGTTTTCCAGTCGCGCGTGATTCATTGATGCTTATAATATGAAAGCAACTTGACATGGGCTCTCGCCAGGCCAGCTCCCCTGGGAGGCTGCGTACTGGAGAAGACACTGATGCTGAAGCCACTGCCAGCCCATTCCAGGCTATGAGTCTTCCATGCGAGCCAATGGGTCCCTATGCGAGTCTGTGGATCTCTTCGTGGGTCTATCTATGGCTCTCTATGCGAGTCGATGTGAGTAAGCGCCGATGATGAATCCGCCTGCAACGCACCATCACCGGCGCAATTTCTGCATTTGGGTCCATACGCGAGTCTATAGGCCTCTAGGTAAGTCTGCGGTTTATGCGCGGGTCGACGGGTCTGGAGTGAGTCTACGAGCCGCCACCGAAGACTGGGCACACCACGAGACCGCAATGGGTGGCAACCGACCGAGGCCACAACACGACAAGATCCTGCGGGCAAGAGCCCCCCCCAAACCCCCCCCCCCGACACAGCCCGGCGTCAACCCCGGCGCTGTCAAGACAACCGCGCTCCACTCTCCGCAGCGAGCGACCGCCCCGTCGCCACGAAGTGTCCCCGCCGCAACTTCCCTACCTTACAGTGGTTCCGCGACGATATAACGATGGTCCCTTCCGGAGTAACGCCGCCGCAGTCCCGCACGACGGAGGAGCCCGGCGCGCGGCCCCTCGCGTCCCCGCCACGCGTCACGGTAATCCGCAGGTGTGGCGAGCCCCCGATCATCTCCTGCTCCACGTGGAAGACCGGCGACGGCGGAGGGCTCGGCGAGATCCCGTCGAACGAGCGGCTCCGCAGCAGCTGGGGGTAATCGGCGCGGCCGCGCCCGACGTCGGCGGCGCGCTCGCCCTCCGCCTCCGCGCCGAGGAGCCGGTGCCCACGCTCCCCCGCGTCCTCCTGCGCCGGCAGGAGGCAGGCGGAGGTGCTGCGGCGCAGGCGGGCACGCGGGTACGCGGCCGGCTTGCCCGCCAGGAAGTCGCCGCCGTCGCCGGACGCGCAAGGCTCGGCGGCCGGCGGCTTATGCAGCTGCACCACGAAGCGCGACTGCTTGCCGGCGCCGCCGCCGCCGCCGTCCTTGGGACGACAGGATGCCGGGCGCGTGCTGCCGGGGGCCGGGGCCGAGGGCCGTGCGGGGAGGTGGCGCGCCGGAGGGGTGGCGGCGCCGGCGGCGGCGGCGTGGCCGTCGGCCGTCGCCTGCCGCGGGCGACAGCGCAGCGGCAGCACGCGGATGCGGTGCACCTCGCCGGCGGCCGAGTGACGCTTGAGCCGGAAGCCGTTGCCGCTGGCGCCGGGCAGCAGGTCCACGGAGATGGCGTCGGCGCCCGGGGGCGAGTCCGTCGGCGCCGGGCCGTGCTCGGCGATGTGGCCGAGCTTTGCGGGCATCTGGAACGGGGGCAAGTGAAGCACCCTGCGGGTGGAGCAGACTGCTGCGTCACACGACGGCTGCTGCTGCTGCTGCGTCGACTGCTGGATTGGCTGCTGCTGGATGGGCTGCTGTTGCTGTTGCTGAGCTTGCTGCGGTTGTCCCGGTGTCGGCGCTAGCGCCGGAGACTCGGCGGCAGTGGGGCTGGGCGGCGGCGTGATACTGGGGCTCCTGGGGAAGATGAGCAGCGAGGAGCAGCGTCGCAAGCGTCCGCTCTCAGCCGCTGGCGCCGACGCGGGCCGCGCGGGCCAGGGCTCGCACGGCACTGTCACCACGCGCACCTCGCCCAGGCGCGCGCCAGGCAGCGCGAGCCTCCCTCCAGGAACATCGGCAATGTCGGGAAACTTAGACTCGGCCGGAGTTACGTCCCGCGCCTCGGTGCGCGAAAGAGCCAAGTCCCTCGGCGGGTCCGGCGGCGTTGCCGCCGCCGCGCAGGCGGCCGCAACCGCTCGCCCGCTCGCTCCGTCCCCATCCCCGGCGGCGACCGCCGTTCCCGCCGCCCCGGCTTCCCCGTCCGCCGGTCCGCCGGCGGCAGCGCCGTTGGCCGGGCGGCGCTGCAGCGAGATCTGCACGGAGGTGCTCTTCTTGCGGCGCGGGCGGCTGTCGCCGCAGCTGGTCGCGAGCTGCGGGATGAACATGGAGGAGCTGCGCTTGAGCCGGGGCGGCTCGAGGGCGCGCGCCGACGGCGGGGGGCTGGAGTCGGGCCGCGAGGGCGTGAGCTGCACGCTGGCGCAGCGGCGGGGAGCCGAGCAGAGCCCCATGAGCGCGTCGCTCGCCCTCTCGTCGCGGTCGGCGTCTGACGAGGGGTCCGTGTGGCTTCGCCCGGCCGCGAAACGCAGCCGGAGCCGCTGAGCCATCCTTCGGTTGTTTTTTTTTCGTTCACGTCCACGGGGAGGCAACGACGTTCATAAAAAAAAAAATCTGTTTTAACTCCAGCGAGAGGAGAGGCTTCCGAGGCCAGACGGGCTTATGCGCCCACGCTAGAGGCAGTTCCTCCTCCTCTCTCTCGCCGACGCGCGGGCTAGGGTTACATGTCGCGCACGCGAGCGCAACGCGGACGCGCTGCCGCTGGCGTGACGGCCCCCGCGCCTCTCGGATTCCCAGTGCGAGCGCGCTCGGCTCAGCGGCAACAGACACGGCAGAAATAGTCGGGGGGGGGGGTGGGAGGGCGGCCACCCGGGCACGGACGGCGGCCGTGTGTCCCGTCTACGCCATCGGGCACCCCGACGCAATCGCCGTCACCGCCGCCGCACAGGTTTCTGAGTCACCGCATGACCCGTCTCTCGCTCAAACGCAGCCCTCCTCCGTCGACTAACCGGCCCCCCCGTCGCTCTTCTGCGTGCTGCGTACGCCGCTTTCCCGCCGTCGTAGACCGCCTCCACCGTCACCCCCCCCCCCCCCAACTCCTCCTGCTCTATAAAATGAAAACAACTGCTGCGGAACGGATTGCAGTTTTCCGCGCTTGCTTTTTTTCGCTGTTGTCGTTTTGTTTTTTAACCGCCGGAATAAAACGCCGAGCGAAATGGTCGGATGTCGCGCGTGAGCCAGCGGCGGTTGAGCGGGAAACGGGGTCGGCTCGTGCAGCCGGGTCGTGCGGCCGGGTCGTGCGGCCGGGTCGTGCGCTCTCGGCTTCTCTCCGCCACCACTAACCGCCGCCGTCGGCCCGCGGCACGGCCTCTGCGCCACTTGCGCTTAAATTTAGCAGCACGCAACCTTCTTTTTTTTAATTGAGAGGGAGAGAGGGCAGTGTATTCATAGAGGGTGCGAGGTGTCGCGTTTCACCAGCTCCCACTTTACTGTACCCGCGGCTGATGGACTACATTAACAAAACAGATTTAAACTCCTGCCCGCGTTCTCCCCAAGCACTCGCGTCCGCCTCTTATATTTTTACAAAACACGTGTGTGTGTGTGCGCGCGCGCGGGCGTGCACGCACACACACACACAAAGACAAAGATCCCCCGTGTAGCCTTCAACAGACTGTTGGGGCAAGTGCTTTAAGCGAGAACCTATTAAGGCCGGAACGGCACACGAGGGGGTGGGTGGCCAGCACCACGCCCTGCCGCCTTTGTCTCCCCAGTGGCGATGTTTTGTTTACACACCACACCAGGTACTCATTTGAGGCAGAGTCGACCGAGGGGAGGCCCAAGATGAGGTTCAGATAATCGTGACCGGTGTTGGCCGTGAGCGAGAATCAAACTGGGGTCACCGGGTTCGTAGCGCAGCACGCTAACCGCTACATTACCGCTCCCCCCCCCCACACACACGCACACTTGCAAACTTTTTTTTCTACAACATTCGTCTACCGGTGTACAGACGATGTGATCGTGACTCGTAAATAAAGACACGTCCTTCCGCCCGTCAAGATAAACGTAGCTGTGATAATCACGCACGACGGCCCCTTTGTCAATCCACGGCCGGAGGCCTTCCCACGCCATGTCAGTCGTGGAGATCGACGGGACCGGCCAAGTTGAGCGTGGCGTGTACATTTAACTTCTTTCGCGCCGTACGTACTCGGGACCGGTTCAGATATCGCTCGCCACCAATGTCGGCTGCGACCGGGAATCGAATTCGGGTCGCCTTGCTGGTGCCGCCAGTGCTCTGCTCACCGCTGCTCCACCGCTCCGAGTCGTCGTCATAATGGCCGGTCGTTTCGAAGAGCGTGCCATTAACATGTGAAACGCGCCTCTGAGTCTGCGAGTGAGATGAGAGAGGAGAGGTAGGAGGGTGGCTGCTGCGAAGAGCTAGGCCGAGGAATGAAAAACGAAGGAAAAGAACAAGGGTCACACCGACGACGATGACGATGGTGATGAGGCGAAAGAAATCCACGTGGGAATGGGGCAGCGTTGCAGGCCGACGACAACAAATTGGACAATAAATCCGTAAACAAAGAAAGAGCTTCATAGCTCACCGGATTCCTCCAGTATAAATAAAATATTCCGATTCTGAACCGAGGTTCCCCCGTTGGGAAATCGGTTCCAGAGCGCGCGTTGTTTACGCGATCAAAGAGTTTTGGAGGGCACTGCTGGACAGGAAAGTACGACCGAGGAAAGGAAGGAATGGAAATAAACAGGGGGGGTGGTGGTGGTGGAGGAGGAGGGGGGGGGGTCATTGCCCAAGCAGTGGTAGACAACAACAGCGCGAGATTGTGATTGTGAAATCATTTCAAGAGCGTCCCGTGCTTACGCAACGAACGTCAGTCGGGGCATGACCGTTGCTCACCCAGTGGGGCAGCGAGGCCTCAGTTGAAACCCTCACAGCAGGCAAACGGAGAGGGGGGTGGGGGGGGCAAATCTCCAGCTCCTGTGGCATCGTCGCGACCGTGGTCCCTCTGCCGCACGAGTCACACAGACAATGGGCCGTATCCAACCGCGCCGGAGCATCGCGCGGCAGATGCGGCCATCCTCTGCGCAGAATGCAAAATTAAGAGCAGCCCACGCAGTACAACTGCGGTCGGCCATCTCAAACCGTGGGGCCGCTGGAGTAACGCCACCGCCGCTTGGACCATTCGCCGGGCAGAATTTGAGATGTTCGCCACGAGGCCAACTCCCGCAGCCACCCGCCAGACTCGCCAGCCGTGGACGGGAAGATATCCACTCTTACATTCTCTGCCTGGCAGCAAACTCGATTTCAAACCAAGACATCAGCTGTTCAACCCACGCACAGAAAAGCACACACAGGCGCACACAAGGATCCCCCCGTTGTAGTCCTAACAGACCGGTGAGGCTAACGTAGTTAGCGAGCACCTATTAAGGCCGGCACGGCACACAAGTGGGTGGTGTGACCACCACCACGTCCGGCCGCCTTTGTCTCCCCAGTGCTAAAGTTGTAATCCACACCGCAGCAGGTGCCCGGAGGCTCAGATAGGCAACGCGGCCTGGAATCGAACTCAGGTTGCCCAGGTTCGTAGCGTTGCGCGGTATAGCCACTACGCCGCCACTCATTACACATGCACGCACACACAGCATTCCCTATAAGTATGTCTGCTGGGTCAAAGGGCAGCTTAGGACACTTGACATTGCTATTGAACAAGGTTGGGAATCGAACCCAGGATATCAAACCACTGGACCACCGCTCCCCACATACGCAAATACTGCCCAGGACTCGTCCACACGTTCATAACCGCACACACACAGGTACCATTTATGAAGATTTTTTTTTTGCTACGGATTTATATTTTATTATATATATTTAAAAAACCGCAGTCGGAAAATCTGAGCAAAGGGCCCCCGCGATCGGTATTGAGTGAGAGGCATTCAGTGGACGCAGCCGGGAAAGGGGCTTCCAAAGGGGGGGAAGGTACGTGGGTGTGTGAACGTGTGTGTCTGTGTGTGTGTCTGTGTGTGTGTGTCTGTGTGTGTGTGTCTGTGTGTGTGTCTGTGGAATGGGCAGCGGTAGCGTAGTGGTTAGCGCGCTGCGCTACGAACCCGGCGACCCAGGTTCGATTCCCGCTCACGGCCAACACCACCAGTGACGATAATCTGAACCGGTCCTAGGCCTCCCCTAGGTCGACTCAGCCTCAAATGAGTACCCAGTGTGATGTGTAAACATCGCCACTGGGGAGACAAAGGCGGCCGGGCGTGGTGCTGCCCAACCACACCCTCGTGTGCCGTGCCGGCCTTCATATGTGCTCGCTGACAGCACTTGCCCCAACAGTCTGTTGAGGCTACACGGGGGGAATCTTTAACCTTTGTCTTGTGTGTCTGTGTGTGCGTGTGTTGGGGCTGTGTCTGTGCGAGACGCAGTGTCTCGCGCAGCACGAGACGGGCATTTGCCAACGTGGGATTAGGGTCGATTAACGGCGCATTGACTCATTCGCATTGCCGCCACGGCGCGGTCAGAACCCCGTGCCCCCAGCCCCGGGGATGCCGTTGCCCAGCGCGTGGGGGGCAGGGGGGGGGGGTCTCTGATTTACAAGCGGTGGGTGGTGACCGGCGTTGTAACGGGGGGACTGGACAGGTGGGGGTTGGGGGGCATGGGGGGGGGGCATGGGGGGAGCATGGGTGGGGGTTGGACGGGTTGGGTAGTGGTTGGGGGGCCATGGGTGGGGGTTAGGGGGCATGGGTGGGGGCTGGAGGGGCATGGGTGGGGGCATGGGTGGGGGTTGGGGGGTATGGGTGGGGGCTGGAGGGGCATGGGTGGGGGTTGGGGGGTATGGGTGGGGGTGGGGGGACATGGTTTAAGGGGCATGGGTGGGGGTTGGGGGGCATGGGTGGGGGTTGGGGGCATGGGTGGGGGTTGGGGGGCATGGGTGGGGGTTGGGGGGCATGGGTGGGGGTTGGGTGGGGGTTGGGGCAGCATGGGTGGGGGTTGGGTGGGGGTTGGGCAGGTATGGGTGGGGGTGGGGGGACATGGTTTGGGGGGCATGGGTGGGGGTTGGGGGGCATGGGTGGGGGTTGGGGGCATGGGTGGGGGTTGGGGGGCATGGGTGGGGGTTGGGTGGGGGTTGGGGGGGCATGGGTGGGAGTTGGGGGGCATGGGTAGTGGTTGGGGGGCATGGTGGGGGGCGGAGGTGACAGCTACAGACGTGAAACAGCAGTCAGGCAGCAGCAGCGTCTTCTGTGTATGAAGGAGCTGTTAGCTCAAGTGTAGTATCGACAAGGCTCGATTACTACTTAATGCAACTCACTACTTAATGCAACTCACTACTTATTGCAACTCACTACTTAATGCAACTCACTACTTAATGCAACTCACTACTTAATGCAACTCACTACTCATTGCAACTCACTACTTAATGCAACTCACTACTTAATGATAACTGACTACCTAAAGCAACTCACTACTTAATGCAACTCACTACTCTACGGGACGTCTGGCAAACCCTTTACCATGCTCCAGCGTGGACAGAAATTCTCTGGCACGTGTCGCGACGGCTCCTGCAAGATCCAACCGCGTCCGTCCGGTGTTCGCCGAGGTGCATTGGCTCAGTGTGCGGTCGCACTCATTACAGACAAAGTGCTCGCCACAATTGCACCACAGTACCATCGCTGATCTCGTCACGGAGCATAAACCATCACGCTGCCCATCGAACAAAGACGGTCGCCGCATCGCACGGCGCTTTCGGAAGCGCTTCTGCGGCCGTCTGGAACGCTCTTCCTTCCGATTTTGGGAAGCCGCTTTTAAATCTGGATTGAAAACTCATTCGTGTAGAACTGCTTTTTTGACTTTAGTTTGTTGGCCTCCTCCCGTAACTCCGATGAGCGAGGTTGGCTACGTACAGTACGAAACAACCTCAACACACTTACAGGGCACACAAGAGGCCTCAGTTTTAGCTCTGTGGATAAGAGGATGAATTTTTTACCGGTGACTATTTTTACCCACGACAGCCAATGCAAAG